ACTCTGCGATCCCACACCCAAGCTGGGATGAACGGAAAGTATTCGAGTTATTGTAATGCTAGGTCCTAATGTTGGGAACTTCATAAGAAAACCCTATAGTCGGTTACAACTGAAGAAGGTAGAAGCTCTTCCCACAAGCGTGATGTGCCCGTTTCATACCTCTCCGCAGTCGAAAGAAGAGTTCACTGTAAACGCTCCTTGTTCCGCTTCAATAGATTCCAACTTTTCTCTGATCCCACTTTTTACGAAAGCAACCTTTGTATTTATTGGAGGGGGAACCGAGCCCTTGAAAGCAGCCTTTGTATCCATCAAAGGAGGAAGCTAATCCCCGAAAGTCGTATTCGTTTCCGTTGGAGGGGGAAAACTCTAATCTCCTTCTCGTGGCTTCCACAATGCTAAGTCGAAAGATAAAGCAAATATGTACAGAAAGGCAAGACCCTCCTCGCGTGTTGGCCACGACGTCACGGAAGCGATGGGACACTATTGGATGTGGAGGTGGCGGAGGGATATACGATTCCCTTTGAGGGGCATTTGCCGCTACCTTCTTAACCTGTAACCGACTATAGTGCTTGCAACTTCGTTACAAGAGCGGGGCAAGTCCGGAGAGTGGCGGCAGAACAGGCTGCCGTGAACATTGAGGAAGTCCTTCGGGAAACTTCCAATTTGGTTCTTTTAGCCACTTCTCAAAACAAGGTACTATAAATTACGGCGTATAAGTCACACTCTTGTTCCTAAATTTCCGTTGGTGCATCTTATACGATGGTGCAACTCATGCACATTTTTGTTTTTATAAGCATGGACCTTAACTGTGCAAGATATAGGCCATATCAATAATTACGACTAAGGAGGATTAGCAGAGCACCCGCCAATGGCTCTTCAGACAGACCCAAGCATGGCACCATAGACATGCAGATGCAGCGACTGCAGTCGCCATTCTTCACAGCCCTTCGTAACTATGTTAGACGAATACAAAAGATTGGCTTATATAGCAGCTTTTTTGTAAAAAAAAAGCCGTCTGTGAGCGGGGGGGGGGGGGGGGGGGGGGGGGGAGGTGAGTTATACAACAATGTGACTTCTAGACTGGAAAACATGGTGTATTATCAGGTGCCGATTTATGTGCAGACGTGTACATCTACACATAAACACATTCACCCCTGCTTTAATCTCTACAAATAGTACCCTGTGCTCAAGACGCAGCTTTGAAATGCGTCGAGAACAAAGTGCCGAATCAAAAGTGCCAAACCAGTACCTTTGCAGCGGTTCGACAATCGTGCCACTAATATTGCAAACATTGTGCTGTATTTTGTGAATATTCCCAACATTATAGTTTGTGCGAGGAAGTGCTTCAAAATTCATTCGTAGGCGTATAGCCGCTCGTAACATTTCAGCTCAAACAGCAGCAACGTCACTGCTTTTAAAAATTTAACTTTCAAAACAGCTCCCCCCCCTGGCACAAAGAAATATCTAGCAGGGAGGCAATGCTAACGCGACTACTGTGTAAAAAAAAAAATGGAGGTTTACGTGTTAAATTATGGATGGATGAATGTACGCATATGACCAAACCTTTCAATTCGGTGGGTGACTTGCACCACCTAGCCTGTCTTTAATCGCGACATTTAATCCTTACCAATGGAGGACATTTGGCACGCTTCAGTGGAGGACCGAGTAATTACAATCGCATGGATGTGCAAGTGAAATCTCCGAGCATTTTTCGCCAGTTTGATTCCAACCCGCCAACTGGACATTCATGAGCCGGCACTTTGCATCAGACTCTGCTGTTTCTCTGGTGGGAAGGCCACAGGAACTACTGAAACTCATCGACTCATGCCCCTCACCAAACTCGTGAACTTGCACCTCTCACCAAATTTGCACCCCTCACTCAACTTCAAAACAAGTCTTTCAAGGCTTACTTGCTCTCACCTAATGCCTGAGAGCCCCCAGTGCACCCAGTTGCCCTCGTGCCAACACTTTCAAAGGAGGCATTGGGGTTGCCTCTCATTTCCACGACCAACAAAGACACGTCGCTGAAAATAAAACTACAAACATTTTATTGAATGAAAATATATGTTTTGTCGTTATAACGGGAGGCGCACAATCCCATAAGCTCTACAATAAAAATCAAACTGTACACTGTTGCACTTTAGAGTCGGTGAATGCTCGCAGAGTACGGAAGCTCCCCAGATTTGAGAACAGCATCGCTGCAATCAATGGCTTAGAAATTCTGGCCATGTGCCATCGAATCGGGGCAACAGAGGTGGAAGAATCTGGAAGCTGGCGAGCAAACGGGCTGGAGCTCTCCTTTGGCAGACTAGATTATAGGCTACATGACACCAAAAGTCCTGGCAAATATCAAGGTGCCTTTGCCTTGCGACACCGATTGTATTCATTAGCTAAGTGTTTCACGTACCATACTTACTCAAATATAGGTCGACCTTTATTTCAGCACTACGACTTAAAGAAAAAGAGCTAACTTTAAAAATGTTTGGGCTCCTCAAGCAAACTGAGATGCTCTGCCGCAGTGCGCAGATGCAAAGCAGCAAAGCTTGATGGGAGTGCCACAGCACAGAGGCCCGTGCGGTTGACGCAGTAATCATGTGATCTCATTAGGAATCGGAGACTGGCTCTGTCTTATCACAATAGCTGCCATTCTTAGACTTTTTAAAATATATCCTCGCAATATTTTTAGTTTGTCGGTTGAGCCACTCCCGACGTCGTGATGATGGCGTCCTCGTCGTACAAGCTGACCGAGCGTCTGAAGAAGGTAACCTTTACGGCAGTTTGGAACAACGTTCCTAGATCATGTTCGGTTGACAGGTTTCCAAAAATACCTGGCGATTTTTCGTGCCACGTCTGCTTGGTGGCACTAGCAATGCTATCAGCCCCCTTCGTAGACGGAAGCGACGAAACCGGTGTAACCTATGATGCACATTGCCTGAGATGGGAAGGGATTTTATTGCGGGCTTCTCCGGGTGAATGCACAATTTGTGCAAAAACAGCGTCAATCGAAAACGGTCCTCCGTTACCCGTCGGAGCGGTGCCCCCCGCGGGGCTAAGATAACAATCCACCCGTTCCTGCTCCCGTGCAGGCAACGCAGAAGGACCATATTCAAACGACGTTCTTTCGCGGAGCTTGTCAACCGATAGATCTAAGAATGTTGATTTTGACGATGACGCCGCCAACACAGTTGATGAGCGAGTTTTAGCTGGAGTGACTTGGGACGCTCCAAAATAAATATACAAAATCTGTTCCCTTTCGCTTCTTGAAGCTGAAGTGAGGGTGCACTCTCAAAACACGCTTTTGTAAGTGCCTGGATACATATGTCATCAAACAGACTTTTCCTGAAAACAAGCGTTTTTTTTATTATACTAAGGTACATACATTTTAAGACTTGTGCTGAATTAGAAGCGATTCCAAAACATACTTGTATTTCGAGATGTTGATCCCTAGATAGAAGCATTTCTTTGGAATTGCTCAAATGAATTTCACAATGTAAACATTGAACTAACATTTCTTTTGCGGGGCAGGGGGTTTCATTTTGTGACCTCGATGTCTTACCCAGGCACTTAAAAAAATGCTTTCAAAAAGTCCAGTGCCCCTTCAAGGTCGCCCTATATTTGCATACTGTAAACGACTTATTTTTCGCGGGCTCAATATTTCGTGATTTAGGTCACAGCTGAAGTATTGAAATAATTTGCAGGTTCTAATTTTTGCGACCCGATGGGATTTCAGTATAGATTTCAATGCGTCTTCATTTTACCGGAATTGTTCGCAGGACCAATTTTTCGCGAATTGCAGGCGATTCGCGAAAATGAGGTCATTTACAGTATTTCTTTTTATTTTCTGCGAGTATTCTAGTCGGTAAAGGGTCGAACTACATTTGAGTAACTATGGCACTTCTTTTCTCCGCTCGACTTCAAAATGGCCAACACGAGCCATTCCAAGACTTCCATTGGCTCCGTTTTTCAGTTTGAGCAGAGGGAACAGATCACAATGTTCTCGAAACGTTCGGTGGGCCTAGTTGCACCTGTCGGACGACGCTAAAAGTCCGCAAAGACGCCGTGGCACCCCGCTCCAACAACAAAAGTTTATCGCAGGACACCAGTCGGTTGCGAAAGCAGCAGGTGCTGCCGTCTGGTGGACTTGCAAATGCCGAACAAATTAAAGAAGAATGTGCAACTGAGTCTCAATCTTCTAGGGACCCGAGGTGTGCCCAGTCTCTCCTTGGATTGAGACTCTGCTACGGCTACGGCCATTGAGAAGCAGCGTTCTTCAGGGGTGGCCGTGGCTGTAGCCACCCTAAAAAAGATGCCCGGTAGGCATCGAAACATTGGGTCGACGATGTACTAGACTCGGTTGGATGCTCTTCTTTAAAGGAGCTGTGCAACGATATTCAATTGGAATGTTTTTCTCTCTACACGAGCTTACTGGCACACCTGGGACTCATGAATACTCACACGCAACGCCATTGGCCAAGAAACTCCTTTGTTGCGGTGTAATTTCAAGGACAAAAGCGATCATTTTCATTCAATCTCTCCTTTGCGAAATTTCATGACGTAACTCGGGGATCGCAGTACACCCAAGTGACGATATTTGAATGCGGTTCATAGATTGGACCCGAGCATTGCGTGGGCACTCGACTTGGGCTCGAGACAATTGCTAGCTCGAGAAGCATTCGGGTTGTGACCCGTGTCCAATCGCTGCAACGACGACAACAGCCGAGCCATAACAATGTCTGGAACTCAGCGCGTGTCCTGCGCTTTGCCAATCCCAGCGCGTGGCTATGATCAACACTGGCGGCATATAATCGGCTCCAGATCACGTGGCCGCTTGTTCTGGCTGCGAGTTGAGGGGGTGAACGCTGCTCGTTTTTCTTAAAGTTTTTTCTGGGACTTCTATTGCGTGGGGTGAAAAACGAACGCGTGTTTCATAGGTCATTAACGTTAGGGATTCGTTTTAAGCGGTATTTGTGCACAGTACAAAAATTGTTGCACAGCTCCTTTAAGCATAATTCCCCCAGCCAGCAAGATTTCTGTCAAACAATTAAATGCCGAACGGCACCTCAAGATCTAACGCCTCAAACCGAAAAGCGTACCATGGATGACGTTCCGAGCACAAACAACTCTGGGTTGCTGCAGTCCTTGAGATGCATTCCTTTCCCAACAGAGCAGACGATGAAGAGCGCTAGCAACAGCAGCGCTTTAAATGTCGAATTTATACATCTCTAAACAAACAATAGGGCATCTCAATGGCAGAAAGATGCGGCGAAGGAACAGTTCCATCGTCCACTGAGAGGGTGTCCGACCAAGTGCGTTGCAGGCACTGTTTTCCTAAACCCAATGTTCGATCGAGACTCCACTTTCGCCGTCGGATAAAATTCGTCTCGCCGTAGTCCCGGGCAGAACCTCCGCGACGGACGGACAACGTGAAGGGATCAGGGAGACAGAAAAGCCACATCTTTCCCGCCCCGTGATTCGTCGGCGCCGTTCGAGTCCTCGGAAACCGGCGCAGCCGCCTGGGGCTCCTCCCTCCGTCTCAGCTTCTGTATCTCCTTCCGTGCACTTGCCTCGAAGAAGAAGTCGTGACCTGCAAAGACGTGCAACCACAACGCGGATCTCGGAAGACAAACTTCCCAATTCTTTCGTAGCGTTCGACTAGCGCCACCTGGAGACGAGGCCTGCGCACAACATCGTCGTTTAGTGAATCACCATGCCATCTCAAGCGGCAAACGCGGTAAAGCTTGACGAGAGCTGCTGCAAAGTGCCAGACGCGTGCGTCTGGGCATCGCCATCTGCTAACATCGCGCTTGCTGTGAGACGCTGCAAGACAAGCTGGCGGCGATGCCTACGCAAGCTAGCCGGCGCTGCGTGAATCCACTAGCAATGACGTTTGGGGACGAAGAGCGCACGCCTTATCCTCTAGGTAACATCGGTTCGACACACTAGCATAACGCTATCGCCCAGACCCCAACGTACGAAGTCCGAATTGCACCAAATGCAGACTTGAGAGGCTGTTGTAGCGCGACATGCATCACTTTCCCGCCAAATTTAGCAAACTGAGACCACATGACACCGACCCCGCATCATGCCACGTGACATCACTTATGTCATAGAGTTGCAGACAATCTGAAAGCGAATTTCATTGGGCAGCACCGACACCGAGCCAGGTTTCCCGCACTACAGCGAGAATCTGTCGCGGTTCACTTGCGGATGGCGCGAGTGCAGTTTTAGTGGAAGATGGAAACCCTCCACAGGTCGGCGCTTTAGGTCAGCATCTATGGTGCAATCTATGTAAAGACGTGCCAACTCAATGAGAATGACAAGCATCAATAGACACATCGCGGGGCCTGTGCAGCACGCAACTTCTCTGCTATCCGAACGTTGTAGTTGACTGTTAACCGGAAAAGCGACGGGGTGCAGCCGTTCTGGGTTAACAGGCCTTCTATACTGTTCGGACCAGTGAATCATAAATGTGTTTCGAGCCCTGCGGAACAATCTGCTATTTTCTTTAGAGGGCTCACTGACGATCATTGCAAGAAGACGGAATGACAGTAATGTTTTGTTGACAAACATTACACCCTTTTCCGTGTCATATAAATATTTTGACCCACACTCAATTGGCATGGATCCGGATATGTTCTAGTAATGTTGTGACAGGAATCCAAACTAGTTGTTCCCTTTCGGAAGCTAAACGAACGCTGCCAAAAGGAAACTAAATGAACGTTCAAACGTTCAATTAGTTTCCTTTTGGAAACTAATTGAACTTTTTGGTGCACCGCCAAGCACCATCCGCGTCCACGCGTGCCGGGCACCGCGAATGGAAGTCACTCAGTGCGTCTGCCCGGGTGGTGTGTGCCTCGAAGGAACATGTGGGGGCTGTCTGGTGCGCACCCGTGGACCCAACGGAAGACACTACCGTAACATCCCGAGTCGTCGCCCAACCCGCCATTTTGGGCAAATATCGATTTCCAAAACAACGCCGAGCCAACTGCCCGCTCCAACAAATACCCTGGACTCCACAATCTGCAAAGATTCATCCTACTTGAATGACACGGCCGCGGACCATACGGTTGGAGGACGTCCGTGACAAAGTAAAGCGAAGGAGGAAAGGGCACTTCACTTTTTTTACGCATATTCTCCCCGATTTCTGCGACCCCGAAGACTGAGTACATCCGTGCGAAAGGAAAATTAAGGAGATAACAATATAAAACTTTGTTTTGCTCATCAAAATTTTTGTACAAACCAAAAACCAAACACAAAACAAAAAAATCAGAAAGATAACAGAAGCAGCAACCCATTGAGGGATTGCGAGGTCAGCGAAAGACCTATATCCTAGAACGTAGCTGCAGAATGTAAGGTCAAAGTCCGTCTCCATTGAAATGATGTCCATTGCAAACCCGCTCCTTCTCCTGGAACATCGTGGCTGTACTCGGCAAGGTTGTGCGATGTTTGAGACAAAGCCTACAGGTAAATAAAGATTTGCTAGAATGCTATGCACAGACGTTTGTAAAGCGTTTGTAAAGTAATCGCAGTGCCATCCACGCCATGCAGCAACGCCGCCTAAACCTGCGTTGATAGCACGCCATGCACGGGTGCATGCATATATGAACCAAACAGGAAAGTTGCACAAGAGCAGCTGGCTCCATGTGATTGGTAAGGTACCCGACTTGACCCAACGCCAAAGTATTTGTCCCTCCCCCCAACGCAATCGTCGGCTTTCCCATTTGCCCAGCATAGCTCTTCGTCGCTTCTTTCGCTCCTTCACTTGCTGGTTGTACATGGCCAGTTTTTCTATTTTCTTGCTGACTGTTTTTGGAGCGCAGCTCTTAAGTGTCCATATCCGGCTTGAGCGGCGTCAGCGTAACCGCGAGCCCCCCTCCCCCCCCTCCCCCCCTCTCCCCCCCCTCCCCCCCCCCCCCAAGGACCTCGGGAGGACCTCGGGGAGGGTGGGTCATGTGACCCCCTAAGGTCACAAGACCCCCTCCCCGATGTCACGTGACCCCCCCAAGTCGTCACGTGACACACCCCTTCAATATCCTTCCCTCCCCCTCCTCAAGAGCTGCACTCTAATTCGGCGTTACAGGGAGTTGTAAACGGCTTTCACTTTTTCTACTCCATTTCTTTTTTAATCTACAGATCAGCAGAGGCTACGGAACCTTAATGACAAGAACAGCTGTTTTAGAGACGTGCTTGCACGGAACAAGCATTCATGCTGTATGCTGATCGGCAGTGTTCATCGCATGTGTGCAAGCATCGGACTTCCCGATAGTAGCACATTCTTTCGTGAGCATTTCTTGCATGGAATAATGAAACTAATTTGAGTTTTGAGTTCAATGTATCTCTTGTGCAGCCGCAGTAGGTACGTGCAGAAAAATGGGCGTTTTAGCTTTTTCCACACTTTTTCTGTTTCCCCACCGAGACATGGCCCACCCCCCTCTTTTTACGAATTTTGCGTGGCGGTAAGGCGGGCGTTGACTTGGGATATTACGGTACATAATGCAACGTCCCAGTGCCACTTGATGCCGCGAGATCACGGCGTCGCGCGGCACTGTAAAGTAAAGTTTTGTAGTCAAACGTCAAATGACACTGTCACTTCAGGTTGCATGGTCACGTGACTACGCAACCTAGCGAAGGCTACAAGGTATATCTACCAGTTAGCCCTCGAACAGTTCTGATCAGCATGGAAGTAGACTGAAGGTGCAGCAGCATTTGCAAAATAAAATCTATGCACCAGCTTTGAGAAATGGCCTCTGGTGACACTGTCACAATCTATTCCAGCCCACAGTGAAAGAATGATGCGCAAAAAATTGGGAAATGAACACAGATCAGAAGTGTTCTAGTTTTAACTGATAGATGCAGCCAGTGTCTCCTCTCGTTGTAAGCCGTCACAAGCAGTCGTGACGCAGTCAGTCAGAGTCAAACGCTAATGTACAAACCAGTCTTTGTTTAAAGGGGCCTTGCAATGACTTTTTGACAGGTTTTTAATTTGCACTGAACCTGAGCGTACTGAACGTAGTAACTTAATAAAAATTTTCTTTTCTCTAATTTCGCTTTATTTTAAAAGTTATAGGCAAATTAGAATTACAAAAACAAGCAAAAAAAAACCTCCTTCATGACGTCGTAGGTCCTGGCTTGAGTGGCCGTGAACTAGAGGAGGGCAGAGGAGGAGTAGTGAGCTCATCGAGCGCTCACGGCTGCAGCACTCCGTGTCGACGGCTCGAGAGGGCGCCACTAAAGCATGTGTTGGATAGGCTGTATGAAGCGGGCGGCCAGCGCAGCTCGCATTGCATTTGCTGCGCGACTAAACAGTAATTCGGCGTGAGACGACAGCAAACACGAGGTAAAGATCAGTTCAGAACGAAAGCCACTTCGCGCTGATGCACCGACATATGGCATGGCGAATCGCCAGCAGGGCCCGCGCCGAAGGCCTTCAGAACGCTCGGAACCGGTCGGATTCTCGAGCCGGTATACGACCGCAGCGCCACCATGTACATCCGGGACCTTTCTACGCTCCTCGTTCGTCGTAGCCTCATCCCACTAGTTCTTTCTAGTATGCGCCGTTTTTTCCGCCGATTGGTGGCAGGTAAGTCGACGGGTCATTTCTAGTTTCCATACTTTCTAAACTGCATTTGTTTCTTTTCTGATCTAAAATAGTAAACAAAAACTACTTTCATACATAATTGAAACGGTTCGCGACACTTATATTTTGTATCTCGACTAAAAAAAAAAGCTTTTAGCGGCTTTGACCAGTGGCAAGCCAAGGACCAAAGACGTCACATTTTGTGCGCTTTCGGTACCGCGGGTCGCCCTCGTCAGTGGAGGAGGTTTCCGCTTCGTCCGGTTAAAATATGACGCACTGATATTTAGTTACTCTCTCCGTGCCCGCTGGCTTGCCCGAACCCCAAGAGACGTGGAAACCGCAAAAAAGGTAGAAACTTAAATATGATTGCAGGGCCCCTTTAAGAGCTAAGACTGGTTCATGTACACGGAAGCTCAACAGAACGAAGAACGAGGCAGAAAACTCACCCTCGCAGTTCCGTCGGAGCTCCTTGACCTTTGTCTTGCAGCAGGGCTTGCACAGACCATACGGGCACTTGGCAGCCTGCCGGAAAACAATAACAATTTGCCGGCTTTACTTGCCAAGCCAATAAAGGGCATCTGGCACGCCCCGACAAAGAAGTGAGGATTAATTTGACCGCTCAGGACTTTTTGAAGTGGAACCGAAAGCTTGGCATCGTGGCGCTTTCTCCGCTATAAGCCGGGATTTGAACCCGCAACCTGGGGTTTCCTAAGCCAGTGCTCTGCCTCGGAGCCACTGAGGCGGCTGCTGGGAAACAATGTGCGTTGGGTCAGAGGTACAGTCGCCAAATGAGCTATGCTTACAGCATGGAAGTTTTATTCTCCGACCGTCTCGTGGGTGTCGCAAATTTGTTCCCCGTTGCAGGGCGGGCCCAAGTGGCGATGGTTACAACGAGAAAATGCGACTTCCCAAGCTTTGGAGGCGGCGTTGGAAGAAATGTAGCATCACGGACAGGATGTAATACCACAAACATGTCATAGATAGATGTAACATCACATACAGATGCAATGTCACACATGTTACATTATATGACCGTATGAGAAGACGGTGTCACATGACACTAGCCTAACCTTTGGAAGTGATTCCTTCCACGAGTGCTAATGAGGAAACTTGAAAAGCTGGGCATCTGCAAGCACGGGGGTCTGACAGCACTGCCTTCAACTTACAAAATCATTGACGTTTTTAATTTCCTATACAGTCAAATCTCGGTACAGCGAACACCACTTTAACAAACTTTTCAGATTAACAGACTTCTAAAAAATCCCGTGCTGACTGCCTATGGTTGTAATGCAAAATTATTTCACCACAACGTACTTGAGAATAATAAACATTTCAGAATAACGAGCACTATTATTTAGCTCCGCATCATATTAACAACACCTCAGTACTACGAACTCATATTCTGAAGTGCAGGAATTCTAAGGTTTCAGAGCCGGAGCGGCAGGTTAGCAGACGACACGGCGAGCAGACACCTTGCAAGTTGCAACTCGCTCCGTTGAAAGCGCGAGAGGTAACGGAAGACGGACTACTATTTCTTTTATTTTTTTTTCTTGTTGTTGAAACGATGACAGGTTTTAACAGCACAGATGGCGCAGAGCGCAGAGGCGAGGGTTTGGCAAGGGGCGAGAGGGAGGCAGGGAGCACGTGCGCAAAAAATATGAGAAAGCAAAAAAAAGAAAAAACAATAAAGGGAATTTTTTTTTTTTTTGTGGAGGAAGCGTGGCGAGAACGTAACACTTTGCGTTGACGATTTTCTTTCTTTCTTTTTTTCGTTGACGGCTATTTTACGAAACAAGCCAGTCTACAGTGGCACCGCACTAGCAGCGTTGCCGGCAACGCATAGGGTTTATCTTTGTCATCTTTGTTTCTCACTTCTGCGTGTGCTCTCAGCCTTGTCAGACGCAGCTTTTTCCGGTGTTTATTGCATCCATAATGCAAGCCAGCATTCGCGCTGCAATCCTGCTGCATATATATATATATATATTAAAAAAAAAAAAAAAAGCTTTTTTGTGCTCCAAAAATTGCTGCAAGCATCCAAAAAAAAAAAAAAAAGACTACTATAAATAAATGTGCTTTGTCTGATGTTGACTTGTGCATCTTTGTGAAAAACGAGTTCAAGGACCCACCGTTGTAAAGGTAGGACGTTTTAATTATTGGAAAATAAGTAATTACGGTTACCGTAAAATCCCGAGAGATGCCCTACCTTCGAAAGATAGCCCACCCCTATTTGTGGCTTGATTTGCTATACTTTTTTTAAACACCGAAAGATAGCCCACTCCTAGTAATAGTAGTGTTGGGATCAATGTAAGCCTCGGCGTAAATGCAGCAGTTAGCTATTGCGGGATATAAAAAACGTTGCTCACTGGGAAGTACAGTCATCTTTGCTTCTTTGCTCCTCACCACCATAACAAGCTTGGAAGGGACACAACCTAAAAATAGCAATTCTTTAACTTTTCTTGATTGTACACTGAAAGTTAGCCCACTCCATATTTTCACCCGATTTGCTCTTGATCTTATGTGGGCTATATCTCGGGATATTACGGTAATTTCGCGGTTTTCACCATAATGACCTTTCAGAATAACAAACAATTTCCCACGGCCCCCTGAAGTTCGTTATACCGAGATTTCACTGTATGCTCACTCCAGAATAGGCACATCTATTCAATCAATAGGGGGCACAGCAAGGCATAGCTGCCCAGAGCCGTATATGGGGAGAGTTTGGTCAGTCTATGATCTCGCCGCCGTAACGCTCTCCTCCCGAGCAAGCCAATCGGCACGCGGCGCAGAGCGAGAGGCATGAGCGCATGCGCGCGAACTCCCGGCTGCTCGCAGCGGAGTGGGGAGGGCCGCCATCTTCGATCATTCTCCTGGCGGAATGCGTGGGATCGGCATCTAAATCTCGATTATTGCCTTTTATATCGCTGGCTCTGGCAAGAAAATGACATTCTGTTATTCCTCGGTGGGTTAAAAAGCTAATAAATGAAGATTTTTCGGCGTATGGCCACAAACTTTTATTCAGGCGAAAAAGAAGCCGGCCCGTAGCAGACGACGCATAGCCTCAGCAGCGCTCTTCTCCGACCAGTCTCCGACAGCGTTGCTCAAAAATGGCGGTTGTCTCCTCTCTGCTCCCTTCTTTCTCTCTCGCTCCTTCGGCGCTCTCCTCCCTTTCATTTACTTTTCTCCTTCGTCGCCACACCCACTGGCCAAACTCTCCCAATATACGGGCTCTGTAGCTGCCAAGGGGCTACTGCACAAGTGGTTTAGTACAAGACCAAGGCTAGAACTTTCTACCCACACATAAACAAAATGGAGGCAGGAGCATAATTTTACCTCAGGGGTGTGAGGCTACAGGTCCGCCTCACAACCGACCACAGATGATTCCAGGCAGTTACAAATTATATCATTTGATTCTCGACAATTCTAGGCGACTCCAGATAATTCCATGCAATTGCATACGATTCTCGGTGAGTCTAGATGATTCCGGGCGATTGCAGATTATTCCAGACCATTCCAGGCAACTTGAAATGATTCCATGTGATTGCACACAATTCTAGGCGACTCCAAACGATTCCACACAATTGCAGATGACTTTAGGCAGCTCTAAATAATTCTAGGCGATTTGCAGATGATTACACATGATTTTAAGCGACTCCAGACGATTCAAGGCAACTCTAGATGATTCTGAACACGTTCTAAACAATTTCATGCAATTGCAGATGATTCTATGTGATTGCAGACAATCTGGGAAATTCTAGGTGAATCCATGTAATGGCAGATGATTCTAGGCAACTCTAGAACGATTCCAGGCAACTGCAGATGGTTCCACATGACTCCAGACAATTCTAGGAGATCAGATGATTCCAGGTGACCCCAGATGATTCTAGATGACTTTAGAGCAGACAATTCCAGATGACTGAAAATGATTCCACAAGGCTGCAGATTATACTGCTAGGCTCCAGATGATTCCATACAATTGCAGACAATTCTAGGTGACTCTAGACAATTCCATGTAAATGTGGAGGATTCCGCCAGACTCCAGATGATTCAAGACGACTCAAGGTGATTTGATGCGATTGCAGATAAATCTATACGATTCCGGAAGGCTTAGTTCCGACAGCTCTAGGCTATTCCAGGATTCTAGGCGACTAAAGAAGATTCCAGACCACTACAGACGGTCCCAGTGTCTTGTGCAAGCAAGGGGGGGTCCTTACCCTAGGGTTTGGGCAGTGGTCCAGGCATGCCTGCAGCTGCTCCCGGGGGCCCAGGGCCCTGCTGGGGTTCCTGCGCAGCCGCTTCAGCTGCTTTCTCGACAGCGACCGCAAGTCCAAGTCCACACCAGAGAGGGCATCCAGGAGCCGGCGGTGCTCAGCGCTGAGGTCGCGCTTTGTCTGGGCAGCCTCCACGGGGCTGCAAGAATACACCAGGGGCCCAATTATGTTCACAATCAGAGTGAGAGCGAGATCTATAATTTGCCTTTCGTGAAGCGAGCCAAGATAACGTTCGTAGATGGTTCGTCTGCAAATGTGAGCGAGGAATGTAGTTCGTCTGCTACGAAGAGCCATTCGCAGATCGATATAAAATAAAAAATAAAATAGCCCAAACTGAACATGGACGAACAGGCACACATACGACAGGACTGGAGTTGACTCCCAACTAACTTAATTGCATCATCAAACCAAGCAATATATACCATCACATGCAGAAAAAAAAAACACAAATAAAACAAATACAAAAATGATACATTAAAATACTTGTCTTCCATGTGCCAATCGGATAAGATAAAACCATCGAGGAAAGATACTCCATTGTCAATGAGACACACTGAAGGCATGCTGATGCACTTGTCTCCAGCCTTCCTGACGAAAAATGCCTCTATTAATTCTCTCTGCCTTGTCCTTTGCTCTCTTCAAGAACTTCGTCATTTTCAAAAGCAGTTCACACCCACAATGCTTACAGTGCTCAGCAAAGATTGCCACCTAGATTGCTTTGTACCAATAGACTATGTTTGTGAGCTTTGTCACTGAAACACCAACCTGTTTTTTCAATGTAAATGCGGCCACAGCTAAAAGGAATTCCATAGACAACCCCAGTTGCGCACTTAGTGTACATAACAGCATGTTTCTTGGCACATTGAACACGTTTATGCCCAGTCTTTTTTTAAGATTGCGCAAAACTATATTCATATAAGGCACCACTTGCACCGATTTTTTGTTGACCTTTTCACGAATAAGTTTTTTTATCGTGTGACTAATTTTCTGTAGAAGGCTGTCGCAAACACCCGATAGAAGTTAAAATCTGCGAGGTGCAGATTTTAACTTTTTGAACTGAAAATCAAAGCTGGTTGACAGGGCCGCAAGTAAACAATTGCTAGCTATTCCTCGTTTTATAAGCTTTGAATGGGCACTTTCGAATGACAGAAGACTTTTTGTGTCGCAAGTTATACATTAAGCACAAGCGTTCCTTAGGGAAACCTAACTGCAAATCTAAAAACTCAATGCAATCGTGGTTTGCCATTTCACAGATGAACTATAAGCCTCCCGACTGAACATTAAAAATGTTAATGATTTTTGCAGCGACAACAACCTCATTTGCCCCTGTCAAATCTCCTAAAACAAGAAAATCATCTACATATCTCTAAACCTTTAGCACATGCTTAAGTTCAAGATAGCCAGATACGCGTTTGTCCATTTTGCCCAGATAAATATTGCAAAACACCAGGGAAACCGTAGACTGGACACATACACCGATTTTTTTAACAAAGAATTGATCTTTAAGGCTGACAGCTGTCGACTTAACTTAGAATTCCAGGAGGGCTAGGAAGTTCTCAAAGTTGATGCCAGTCAAATCTTAAAACAGAGTTCACCCGGATCTTGTAAGAAAAGCGGTATGTATCTTGTAAAAAAAACAACTCCACAGAGATTGTACAGGATATCAGTGAACGACTTCTAACTATCAGGACAGCCTTCTCAGTGAATATGAATGATCTGTGCTACTCTGTGCTACATGGTGGACTCATCAGTGCTGTAAGGAACAAGATCGAGAAATCCGGATGGACTGGGTTCCAAAATTAGGCTCGCATCAACTGTGAGAACTTCCTAGCCCTTATGCAACTTTCTAGCTTTCTTGACTCACTCTGGCCGGACGTAGGGCTGGCAGATCCAGGGCGGGAACGGAAGGCTCGCCTGCGCAGACCCTGGCTCCGGCTCCCACGTCCTTGACTGCACAATGCAACGACGCAACTCTCAGTACTTCGATTCGAGGGCAACCCGGCGAACGGTTATCCACAACTCCGGCAAAAATGAACGGCACCGAGCGGGAAAACACCGAGCTGGCTGGAACAGGCCCTTCTTCGGTTTCTGCTCTTTTCTCATGGCTTCCGTGGTTGCACACTGTTGACGTCCACCGAAGTAAAGTGAGGGAAGTCGAATTAGTTGCGTCAACAGCAACGACAGGGCCGCAGGGAAAACCGCGACTCATAATGTCGCAACGAATTAGGTGAGCCACGCGTCACTTCTCACGCTGCAAAGGCCGGATGGTTGTTTCGGTCACTCTGTCGTTAGTGTCGTGTTGACACGTCGCCTGGGTCGCTCTCGACGCAACCGCGTGAACGAGACATTGTGCACTTATTCTGATTTGTCGGTACGACGGACCGGCAATAGGTAGTCTTACCGGTGCTTCCCCGACGAAGAAAAAGCCTCGGAAGCTCGCTCACTCACGTCAACGAGCCGCCGCAAGTTCGTACGTAGCGGATAAAAATTAGGGCAAACGATTTCGAAGCCAATGCTTGCCACCTCAAACTTGAGCGTTCTGCACCGAGCCGGCATGTGGCATGGCACAATCTGTTTTCGGCCTCAATATTTGTCGAAAGTGGCGACGTCTGTGGGTTGCTTGAGTTGCGAAAAGTCACCTATGGAATGAAAATGGCAGGGTCCTTTCGAACGCCTGGCCTCCGGCATGCTCTTCTTGTCTTGCAACGTACATTAGCTGCACATTTAAGCTCAATGCTCACAAGACGCCAAAGTGTTCTCAGAGGTAGGAAAGTTGCGCAGGGGGCGGGGTAAGACCGAAATTCCTCCGTCCTACTTTTCCCGTCGGCGTCTACGGCGCATTTACCTAAAGACTCATTTCCACGGACGATTCCAGCGCTTGTCCCACTTCGACGAGAGCGGGCTCACCGCTCGAACGACCGAACAAACGCACGAGCGAGACGAGCGAACACTTCCGCGAGCCAGCCCAGAGGCACTAGCGTAGATCACTATACACTTTACAAACTAACGGTTCGGTGTGTCGGGAATGAGGGAGTTCTGGAGAGGGAGTTCAACACTCCCCGGATGCACGAAGTTCTAAACGTTGACGCAATATTCGAAACCTTCGCATGCCGAAGACGCGACACGGCTGCAAACTTCCCCACCCTCTGGAGAACATACGCGCGACCCAAACACTCGGAGAACGTCCTACTACCGATGAGAGAAGGAAGCAGACGTGGCAGCTTCTTGACAAAGAAACGCCTCTCAGACCGCTCGGCGCCATCTGCGTTCCGGGTCACACTAAATAAATCGACAAATAAAGTTTTCTTTTTGGGAAGCTCGGATTTTCCTTACAAAAAGACAGCTCCAACTGTTTCTTTCTCGATTTAGATTAAACTGGCTCGGAAAGTCACTTTTTGGGGTTTATTGGTGTACACCAAAAACATGGAGCCCTACTCATTCCCGACGTCGATACACCCCGGCCCAAGAGCAGCTCGAACAGGTTTTGTTTAAGTCCCACCCCTCCCGTTTGTCCAAAGCGGTCCCAAAGCAGCAACAAATTGGCATCACAAAGGCCAGGGTGTCACGCTCCTAGCACCTTAGCGGCAGCGTGTTTGGGCCTTGTAAACACGCAAGTCGAGGCGAGGGTGCGGCAAAATGGCGCCCGTTGGCTGCCCGAATTTGCTGCACCCTCCCCGAAGGTGCCGACCCCTCACCTGCAGCCGGTCCCTGAGCCTCAGGGCCACCTCCTCGAAGGCCTCGAGAGCGCTGGCCTTGGCCAGCTTCTCCCGCAGGTCCACGTTCTCCGCCATGGTCAGGCTGAAACGAGGCCCTCGACTTTATTAATTCATTCCCTCTTTTATTAAATGCGGAGCATTTATAGGCCAGTCTCCGAAATCCTGACCCCCAGCGATAAAAATGGGAAATAATAATCACAAACGGAGGCTTCTGTGAAGAAAGGGGATGCACATAAAACACAAGTTTTTCTCTTTAGAGCACTCTTGGCATCGGTGTTGTTCTTAAAGCTTTGTGACTATGCAATTCTGACGTTCTTGCATGATATGTGCGAAGGTTTCTAAAAACAAAACGGAGCCTTGCAAGAAGCGCAGCCCCCCTACTGTGTCATGGCATCAGCATAAACAAACGTGGTGGCACCCATAGAACAGCGCAGACACTGGTCTATAGGGCCAGCTCTCGGTGCTTTCGTGCCCGTTCGTTCCGTCCCTGAAATATAGAGGCCGTTAAACAAAATGTTTACAGTTTTTTTGGGGTTTTTTTTTACTGCAAAAATAAATTATGCATCGCTGAACGCTCGTTTACCACCCAAATATGGGGCTAGCAGTCCAAACCAGACTCGAAAGTTTCGGAATCAACCGTTATCTTATTAAAAAGCTGAATAAGTGATTGCCCGAGATCTTTATTAAAAAATTGGTGCTCAACGGAGCCCTCGAATACTTGCAGCTGAACGGCGCCAGTTACCGAGAACGGGCTCCAGTTTCCTTTTGAAATTTTCAGAATATCACTCGTAAGCTTTGAACAAGATAACAGTTATTACAGACAGACGCCTTTTTAACGAATGCCTCTACTACGAAGATGCCCGTTTAACGAAGTAAAATAAAAGACCCGGCCAATCTCCTCTGCGTGTTTTCGGACCGCAACAACAAATTCCTGCGTTGAATAAGCGTCACTCCGCTCCAAGATCCAGGCAATGCATGCGCTCATTTCCTTATATCTAGGGTTCCGTGTTTTTGGATAAATCCGAAAAACTCCCAAAAACACCAACCGGTAAAATTTTGGTCAATACAAATTGATCTGATAAACCCAGCTCCTCCCTCCCCCTCCCCTCCCTCCCCCCCCCCCCTCCCCTCCCCCAAAAATCGTTCAGCCTTTCCACTCTTGTGAAAAAGGAAGACCAGCGGAGCTGTACTCGAGACACTGTGTGCTTCTTCTTCATCGTCGCTGTCTGTTTTTCGTGCTGTTTCCTACAATGAATTCCCATCAATGCACCCAACTATCCTTTCTTCTATTATAGCTGGAAAGGTTGCCGCCGTCGCTTATAGATGGCGGTAACTGTCCAGGTACGTTTGTGTCGACATACACGGACACGATCCTGGGGAACCTAGCCCTTCACAGCTCCGCTGTAAAAAAAAGACGGTATTTCACAATTATGTTTGATCAGCGCACAAGGTAAATGGTCATGGGAAAATGCCACCACAGATATCTTTCAAATCTCCAACCATTTCCAAAAGAGGACTTGCTGCTTATCTCGTCAAAGCTCATTCAGGGCAACAGGTCATAGTAGAACTTCCGGGCAACGACAGAAACCACGGTAGGTGATTGAAGACCTATTCGGAAGTGGGCGTTTGTACAAATAAGAAGCAACACAGTGGTATAAGACATTCAACAATATAAAGACGGCAAAACTTTATCAGTGGCAATACCGGTGCAGTACGACCGCTAGCCTGGTGTTGTTAAATTGCGTCACGCAATAGTGAGCACACAAATTAGTGCCAATACAATTTTCATTTAGAAATAACAAAATTTAAAAAAAATGGTAATCGAGTCTAAGTTGTTTGGATTTTTCACCCCACGTGCCCCGAGCTGCGATGCACTAAAAGTCTCGGCCATCATTCCCCCTTTTCGTTAAGTTGATTCTCAACACACAAAGATTAGTTTCCGATGTCGCTCATACTATAGTTGGCGTTATGCTGCTTCCTGAAACACCTCGAATGTTGCCCAGGTACGCCAATATGTAATAGCACTAATCCGGTTTCGTGTGACCGGTTTTTTTCCCTCTCAACTACCACGATGAAGCTACCAGCACTAATAAAAATTTCACCGGTCCCACGAACTTCGTTATAAAGGTGCCAGAGTTTCAGAACTGTGGTTCTGAAACTCTGGCTTCTGGTTCGTACCACTGGTGCTACACTTGGGCAGAAGCTGAGCATTCGGCAATGCATCATTTCTCTTTGCGATAAAAAAAAACAAAAAAACGTAAAGTTTGTTCGAAGCACATTTCCTCCATAAAATCCCTGTGTTCCTGTGACATCATCAGCGTGAGTCGTCAGATCACACAATCATGCAACATCAAGTATCACCGTGACCAGGCACGAGCAGTTTTTTCATGCTTACGAATGGACGATGCCTCGACATTGATGCAACACAGGTGGGTCAGAGATTAGGCAAAGACATCTTAAATGTTACAAAATATGCATTAAAACCAGAGAGCGTAATGAAACTAACATTTCTGGAAAGTGTTAACTTTAAACTTTTTCTAGTTGGCAAAGACTTTAATGACTCATTTCCAATCATTAGAACCCAATTTCAAAGTGCAATAAGCTTGTTTAAATGAAGCTAATATTATAAGAATGGTACTGTTGCAGATTTTTAACCGTTTCACAACCAAACCGACCCCTGCTTCTCCAGAATATATTTGTTTTGCATTTTGTTCTCACTCCGTGCCTTTCGCCAAATTATCTCGTGAGAAAACAAAAAATGTGGGCCTGTCGCGCCATTTATGTAGAAGTCACAAAACGCATGAAGCTTGTTCTTGGCAGCCCAGCAATGGCTGGGCTGCCAAGAACAAAGTGTCACGCCTGTCCGTGGTCTGACAGACGATGAAGATGGAATTCAGGAGCTGCTGATGAATTTGGACTTGAACGAAAGCGACACTAACTAATAAGGTAATGCAAGTGACTCTGCAAATGAAGACCTTGATGAGAGCCCCTGCCAGAGAAGAATTCACGAGAGGAAACTTGATGAGCAGAATCTGAATCGGAAGATGAAAGAATTCAAGCCGCAGGTGCAAGCGTTTGGCCAGTCATCTTCAGGTATCTCCAAAAGCCTCACGGCGGCGTTCAGTGATCTCGAGATTTCTTAAAGTTTGTTTACGCTAGATATTATGGATGCAATTGTTGAGCAAACAAACATTTTCCAGTGCCAAGTAGTGACCGCGTGTACGTCGGCAGACAAGTCATGAGTATACCAGTAAAAAGGCTTGACGGCAAGCGAGTTTTCTGTCTTTCTTGCCGTGGCAATACGTGGAAACACGCTGAAAAAAACCACCACACGGGGAAGAGCAGTCTGCGAAAAAAAGCAGCAGTGAAAGGGTTAATGGGGTTATTCTAGAGAAGTTGGGTAGAAACGTATGCAATAAAGTTAAGGTTTTTCTGGAAACTATATTGGATAGGAAAACAATGAGCTTATGTTTGTGCTTAAGACACAAAATTCTAGATGTGATAAGGTAATATAAATTGAAGGAGAAATGACAAAAAAAAAATTATCTAGACTAAGGTCTCCCCTTCAAGGGGCCCTGCAATCATATTTAAGCATCTACCCTTTTTGTGGCTCCCACGTCCCTCGGGGTTTGGGCAAGCCAGCGGGCACGGAAAGACTAACTAAATATCAGTGCGTCATAATTTAACCGGACGACGTGGAAACCTCCTCCACCTACGGGGGCGACCCATGGTGCCTAAAGCGCGCGATATGTGACGTCTTAGGTCCTGGGCTTACTACTGGTCAGAGCCACTAAAAGCTTCTTTTTTGTCGAAATACAAAGTATAAGTGGCATGAACCGTTTCAATTATTTATAAAAGTAGTTTTTGTTCACTATTTTAGATCAGAAAAGAAACGAATGCAGTTTAGAAAGTACGGAAACAAGAAAAGATCCGTCAACAAACCCACCACCAAACGGTGGAAAAGGCAGTGCATACTAAAAAGGTGTAGTGGGATCAGGTGCCAACGAACGGCGAGCGTAGAAAGGTCCTGGATGTATGCGCCGGCACTGCGGTTGTGCAGACTGGAGGATCCGAGCGTTCCCAAGGCCTTTGGCGAGCAGCTTTCGCTTGTGGTTTGGCCTTTTGGCGGCATGGCAGCACAAAGTGGCTCCCGTTTTGCGTTTTAAACTGATCTTTATCCCGTGTTTGCTGTCGTTTGTGGCCAATGAAGTGTCATGCCGAATAAGTGTTTAATCGCGCAGCAAATGCAATGCGAGCCGCCCTGGCTGCCGCTTCATACAGCCTATCCATAACATGCTTTAGTGGCGCCCTCTTGAGCCGTCGACACGGAGTGCGGCAGCCGTGAGCGCTCGCTGAGCTCACTACCCCTCGTCTAGTTCACGGCTACTCAAGCAACCAAGGACGTCACGAAGAAGGTTATTTTTTGCTTGTTTTTGTAATTTTAGTTTGTCTATATAACTTTTAAACTAAAGCGAAATTCGAGAAAAGAAAAGTTTCATTAAGCTAGTACGTTCAGAGAGCTCAGGTTCGGTGCAAATTAAAAATCAGTAAAAAAGTCCTTGCAGGGCCCCTCAACCCTCTGATGGTCGTCGCCGTACATGCACGACAATGATTACACATTTTAAAACGATTGCCTAAATGCAGATACTTTCAAATTTCAAACCTAGTTAGTTAGGGTCACTTTACAAATTGCAGGAGCACCCCCCCCCCCTCCCCCCCCTCTGGCTAGCAGTGGTATTGCACCGGCTTCTCACCTATGGCATTGGGGGGCTCCCCCACCATCTACTAAACGCACAGTACCGTAGCTCACTACGTCCAGGCGACCAATGTCTGAGGTCCACCTCACGGGGTGAGCCTTCTCTTCGCACACCCCTCTCCCTGGTCGACTTACCAGTGGTGCATGAGCTTGAAGAGGTGCCCCCTGACGTAGGAGGCCGGACACGGGTGGTCCCGCACCAGGTGCAGGTACTCCAGGGAAGCCTCCCACACTGGGGCCAGGCGCCCCGTGAACAGGTACGGGTTGTGCAGGTGGCCCTCTGCAACGGGGACGACGTGCCGTTCATAGCACGCGGCTTTTGTCCGCGCCTATACGGCACCTCGAATCCGTCTTTCAACAATGCGTCTAGCGTCTCATACTGCAAACTGCAGCGAAAGTGGTACGAAAGTGGCAACAAACTGCGCCGCTGGAGCGGGTGCATCATGCCGTCGGATGTCACGATCCCGGCGGTCAATTGTAGGAGTTTTGACGAAAAAGACAAGCGAGCGCGAGAGGCGCCGCTGTCGCGGTATCTCGACTCCCACAGCTTTCGTTGAAGTCAAATTCACCTCCACCACCATGCCGACGCCAGGATTGCGGCAAGCAACACAGCGACGCAAGCCTAACGTCCTTGGGCGGGAAGTAGGGGATTACAAACGAGGACGGGGTAAACGCACCAGTCCGACGGAGGCTATGTCGCGAAGAAGGTGCACTACAACCAAAATTTAGGTTCCACATAAAACTACCCTAAAATTAATCACCAATCCATCGCTCAAGCCTCAAATCCACTCGCTTGTTTGACGAGTAAATCAATTATTTAGCAAAAGATCAGATAACGCACGATTGAAGACATCTTTACTTTGTCATTTCGTGTAGTGCACTTCCGAGTCTCTTCAGAAGGATTTAAAACAAGCGATTTGCATCAGCTTGTCTAAGCTTTTTTTTTTTATTTGTGTGCAAGCTACTTACGAGATCCTATGATTACTCGCATTGTGAGAACTGCAGCTTGTCTCTTTCGATCCGGAAATCAGGCACAGATTAAGTGTCTTCTGCCGCGCTTTGGCCGAGCGTGCGCGCTCGAGGCTGAAGAGACGCCGCAGGGGCGTCAAACCAAATTCTGAGGTTTTACGCGTCGAATTGTCAAAGGCGCCCCAGTGGAGTACCGACAATTAATCTGAACCACCCGGGGATCTTTCGATACGCAACAGATGTTTCAATCACGTGGCACCTTCTCTGCAACAAGCCTCCGTCACGTTGCAGGCAACTTGGCCGGAATTCAAACCCGCCGCCCAGGGACCCGTGGACCGGCACTGAGCCACTGAGCTGGCTGTCGAAGCACTGTCGATGGTAGGCAACTGAAACACTCCGGCTTTTCGTTGGTCAGAGATTTAAAAATTACTCAGCAACTTGCTCACTCGGATTGGAGGTTGCAGTGGCCGGCCGTGTTCTGAAATTTACTCGATCCCACTCCAGGGTAAAGATTTTTAAATGCTAAAAATTTGTTCCCCTGGAAGCCGTCTTTTGTTTAGACTGGACTGGCTTCATGAGGCCACGGCGCGGTTCCCGCCATGCTTTTTCGCTTTGTTCATTTGCTCGTTGCGTTCACTTTCCCTTCTGCAAAAAAAAAGAGTCTTCTGGCACGCTTCTAACGACGGGCCGCGGGAGCGAGAGGGGATAGGGAGGAGCGGCCGCAGCGGTGGCATGACGTACGTGGCGACGTAAAACCGAAGCACGGTGGCACCGTTTGTGTGAAACCGCCCACACCCGAGAGAAAAGACTGGCTCTTCGAAGACAACGGTGTGCGGACCATAGGCAGAGGCCGAGAGAAGCCGCGGTGGCTGCATCCAAAACAGCCAACGTCCGGGACAACAGACCGGTTTCTGAACGCTACACTACGTGCAGACTGTAGTGAGGTTCAAATTCCCATCCTTCGCTGAGTCGGAACCCCCGCGCCGAATCCCGACGCATTTCGTCGAAAATCGGTGTGGCGACAGCGGCGATTTCAACATCATTTCTACTTTAGCTTTCAAAAACGCACTCGCATCCAGCGTCGCTCTATTAGTGCGATCGTGCGGAGTAACTCGGACCTGCTCGAGTAAGATTTGGAACGCAGCCTGTGTCTGCCCTCTACATCCTCCAATCAGAGCTCGGCACAGTGATGTCAGCATAACCCAAGCAGGCGAACTCGCTTGCGAGCAGCTCACCTGCCGACATGACGGCGTCAGCCCCAGTCTCCCGCAAACATCGCTCAGCATCCTCCAGGTACTGGATGTTGCCGTTGGCAATCACGGGGATCTTCACACTGCGCCTGGAAAGGAAGGGGGCGGACGTCGGCTCGGGCTTTGGCCAGCTCTGGCTGGCTCTACGGAGGCCGACCGGAGCCGTCAAATAAGCCATGCCAGAGTCCTTCGACACACTTCCGGTTGCGGGACTTTTCCGCAATGCTTCTATGCCACTCGAGGCGGCCACGCCGCAGCGCCACAGTTCCTGCGGGGGCCACCGCAGGCGTCGTCGGACAGACGAGGAAGGCGTCCGCGCCGAGTTTTTGTCATCGCTCTACTCGCGGTTCGCTCGTCTCAATCGTCCCGTGCTGCGCAACAGAAGCGGTGTGCACGAGCGACGTCGCCGAAAACATGCTGTGTGCCGGGCTGCCGAAGTGGAAGTAATGTTTTCCTATCTCGCTTTTCCGAAGACACCGACCTCTGTGCGCCAAGGAAGTGCGTGACACCACGACAGGAAGTTGCAGGCTTCGATTTCGATCGGAAGAATGTGCGCGTGCGTGAGAAGCATTTTGATGCCACAGACATCGTCAAAGCCTACGAGCATGCAAGAAAAGGCGACGCAGCGTCACAGTCATGCGAAGGGGAAAAGTTACCGCCATTAGCCGTTCCCAGGACATTTGAGGGCCTGCCCGCCCATCTAACCAAGAATGAGGTATATCTCGGCCGCCGACGGTAAGGTTGCGGTTGTGCTATGAATACGTCGCACAAAAGACGGTTTGCAAATGAGGCACGTTTCTTCCTCATACGACAGTTCTGCCACGTTGGTCGTGCAAAAACTGTCTGCTAACATGTTTGAGCACACATATGTGTGAATGTGCTTGAGGCGCGTCAGCAGATGTCATTGCAACTGCAGCAAACGCTTCGTCTTTTGTATCGCGTAAGAGCAGTGTGGCCATGGATTCGGGGCACTGGCGAAAAGAGGTTGCGAGTCGTTCTCCAGCAGTCGAGCGCCACAAACTGACGTCTTTCGAGTTGCCAAAGTCGCAAACATCGAGCCGGCCTTCTAGGGCCTCGCAATTTGAACGAGAAAACCTCGCTTCTTGGTTCGCTCCTCCAGAATAAAGACGCAAGAACGATGTGGCCCGACCCTCGGCAACGACGCCGAGGTCGGACGCCGTCGCGGGAGAGCTCACTTGACGGCACGGATGTGCTCCCAGCTGGCCAGTCCCGTGTGGGGCCCCTTCTGCTCCCGCGTCCGTCCGTGGACGGTCAGCACCTGGGGCGAGTCAAGAACCGGGTCAGTCACACTTTCGGTAGGGCACTGACAACCACGTGCCAGAATTCAGTCAATCTCACTCTAGAGTAAAGGTTTTGCACATTGGCATTTGAAAACGGCAACAAGAGTGCTATTTAGTGCTCGGCCCGCGACGAACCGAATTAAAATAAAGAGAGCGATAAAAAATGTTTCAATATACGTGAGTTAGATACCTATTGTTGTCATTCCTCTGCGTAAGCACTGCAGAAATTTAGCAACTTTTCACACCGTAGGGCAGACCCCCCTCAAAGAAGCTTACTGTCTAGGTTCTCGGTCATTCCATCCTGCATTCAACAAGATTGCCGTCGGCGCAGACGTTCTTCCCCGACCTCGAGTCATCATGAACGTCTGGTCGTCCTCCCCAAAACTTGAAGCGGTTTCCTTCATGCGTAGTACACGTCTGTGACCATTGACGGTCTTACATCTATACCCTGTTGTAGGTTAAGGGAGGAGTGGGCACTGAACTTAGTTTTCTTTTATTTTTAGAGCTATCTGCATGAAATTTTCAGGGTACATTCACAGCACATATATAAAAACGACTGCTAAGTTTCATAATGCTGTGCCGACTAATTCTCAATTTAATATTTTTTTGTCCCTGGCCTAGAGAATTTGCGAAACATAGTGAGAATGTGAAATTTGTTATAACCATTCCTGGAAAGGCAATCCAGGGCATGACAGAGCCTTTTTTTATTAATTCATTTGCAGAAAAAAATTTAGCACAACATTCAATTTTGTTGTTGGTCATATCCTCATCCATCAAATTTCATTTGTGCATTACATAGTTTTAACAAAATCTTGAAGAAAAGGAAGATTGTCATGCCCTCTCAAAGTTCTCTAAAAACAAAATAAAAAAAAAATACTGTGGACACAACACGCATGCACATAAGCCACCGTCCACAACTTTTATTCATTTGTCTTCTCTCAAGCAGATGTTGCAACTGAAAATCAGAAGAATCTCAAGCAGGATCGCATCACGTGAAACGGCTTTACTCTGCACGAAGTAGCAGGAAGTGCTTTTGCGCCCTCTCTTCTTGTTCCGCTTTTCTGTCTTTTCTAGATGTCGACTGCCAAAGGCATAGAAGCATAACAGCCGTAAGTAGCAACGCGATGCTGCTTCCGATGGTTGCGATGCAAAGAAACTTTCATGGACCACTTCCATGCATTGAACGCATGCACCGTCTCACACTTCATTTTCTGCATCGCGTGCGGCCACAAAACAAAACATGAAGGCAAAGTATGCAAAACTACAAAATAAAAAAGAACTGCTGTAAACAACGGCAAAAATTTCAAAAAGCGAAGCGGACTTGACAAAGTGAAAGAGCAAGCAAGCAGCTATAGCAGATGATGCGAGCTCGCAGAGGTGCGGTAGTGATGGCAACGGAAGGAGAACAAGCGTCGCGGTCAATGGTAGTCGCCCGTTCCTTTGAGCACGCTCTTCGGCCAATCACGGCTTCGTGATTAGCCGAAGCCGCCGAGACCTTGTAAATATTTTCTTAAAGGGACAATGCAACAAATTTTGTGCTTTGCGCAAATACCGCTTAGAACAAATCCCTGATGTTTATGACCAATTAAACACGTTTGTTTTTCTCCCCATGCAATAAACATCACAGAAAAAAAAAAAAAAAAAAAAACGAGCAGCGTTTTTTTTTTTTACACTTGCAGCCAGAACAAGCGGCCACGTGATCTGGAGCTGATTATATGCCGCCAAGTTGATCGTAGCTAGGCGCTGAGGTTGGCAAAGCACAGGACACATGCTGAATTCCAGACGTTTTTAGGGTTTGGCTACTGTCGTGCTTGCTGCGATTGGACATGGGCCGCTACCAGGATGCTGGTCGAGCTATCGATTATCACGAGCCAAAATTAAATGCTCACGTAAGGCTCGGGTTCAATCTGTGAGCCGCATTCAAATATCTTCCCTGGGGGGCTATGTCGACACTGCAATCCCCCAAGCTACGTCATCAAGTTTTAAGGAGGAAAGACCGAAAGAAACCGCTCTTTAATTCTTGAAATTACACCGCAAAAAAGAAGTTTCTTGGTCAATAGTGTTGCAAACAAGAATACTTGGGTCCCACTAGTGCCAGTGAACTCGTGTAAAGTGAAAAATATTTTAATTGAATGTCGTTGCACCGCCCCCTTAAAGATATTTTCTGAGCAAATTAGGTACGGATAGTTACAGAGGAGGTAGTTCATAAACTGTGCAGCCCAAAAAATAAATTTTTCAAAAATAGAGCTTTTCAATTTTTTGGTTTTCAAGGTAACGCCGGAGAGGAGGAGAGACGAGACGAGGAAAGGCTCGCCAGCTCTCCAATACTCGCTATGCTAAGGGGAAAAAGTGGAGGACTTTGTGGGGGGAGCTTCTTTAGTGTGCAACAGGGTATAGACATAATGAACGATCCAGAAAAACACATCCTCGTATAGTCTGCAAAGCACGAAATTTCGACTTTCAGACACGCATAGTTTGAGGATCATAATCCAGAAAATACAATATCTACATTATGTACCTACCTTTTGAGTATATTAAAACATTTTTCACTGCTCCTGGTTTTTTATCTAATACATTAAACGTTGAAAAAAAAAAAGAAGGAAAAAAAGAAAACAGTCCTTGTATAAACAGGGTAACTTGGATCTACTCGAGCAACATTTAAAACGCAACCAGAGTCCCTGGGGAAGATTTACCTGGCATCCCGCTGCCTCGAGCATCTGGGCGTAACGGACAGTTTTCTCCACCTCAGGGAAGACGCGCACCTTGCAAGTGATGGGGACGTCCACTTGCGTGTGCACTCGCTGCACTGCATCCAGAGAGTTTGCGGAATGGGTCCAGAGGCAGAGATTAACCACCTTTCAGTACACCTCACTTCCTTCCCCCCCCCCCTCCCTTTTGTTTTTTTGCACAGCTATTGACAGAATGGGAGTACACCTCTTTAGGAAGAATGGTCTCCAGCACCCAATAGTTGCCTTTTACCCTGCTTTAACTGCCCACTCTCGCTCCAAGCTCACGTGACACCGAGGTGTTATTGAAGACGGCTGTATAACTCCAAAGCATACGGCACAAGAGCCCCTGCAGCCAACAGGCATGCGTGCAACATGAGAGATGAGAGCGCCGCAACATAGTGGAAAGTGTCGGGGAGAGGCCGTGTTCTGTCGGCTCAAGCAAGGGTTGTCAAGAGAGCCTCTATGTTGCATATTAAAAAAAACTATATTAATCTTGTCTTACATTATTTTATTTTTTAAGCTTTACTTAAGGGGGAACACTACTCCGAAAGGCTAACTTTTGAACCGTCTGTCTTTTTTGCATGAAATTTGCAGGGTGTACTCATAGCACTGGACAAGGATGCTGTGGAAATTTTCAACCCTATACATTTATCCCACGATGAGTTACATAAAAGTTCATAATAAAAAAGTGTATCTGCTGAGGAAACCTATCGTTTAGAAAGGGGAATGAAAATGGCCAGTTTTTTTTGTTGGAACATACACCAGAATACTTGCTTCAGACGACTATGAAAAGAAATTTCAAAAATTATAAAAATTTATTCACAAAAAAATATGGAAAAAAGTTTTTTTTGGTATACATTTGATTTAAAAGAAATATAAACTTTTCATAACAAAAGAGCATAAAAATGCAGAAAATAAGTTCACAGTCGTGTTCTCCAGAAAATTTAAATATAGAGAAACCAAAATATATCTGCACGCATAATTTGATTATGAAATGATAGCTTCCCTGAACTGATATTTGACACTAAAAAGTGAAGCTGAGATAAATGCAATTGAAGTTTCATGATCAAGTTTTAAAAATTTATTTTTGTGTCTTAAATGTCAAAAATTCTTTCCACCAGTGTAGATGTCTTCTTCAAACTTCTTCCTGACATTGCTTTCAGCTATTTTCACTTGTGGATGACAAGTGCTAAGCAGTGCAGCACCCCTCACCAACATATAAAGAATAATTATTTTTGACATTGTTTGTAAATGCACATTGACAAGACTTTGTGAGAGTGTTCTTTGCTATCCATACATGCCAAAACTTTGCAGTTCTGAATATGCATTTTTTTTAAAAAAAGGTGCAATTCAAGGTAGTGTCCCCCCTTAAGAGATATTTGCTGCCGATTCCAAGCAAAAATTGAAAATTACCCAAATATAAACCCCATAACCAGAATGAAATCTGGCCATCACCAGGTTTCAATGTTGACTACAAACAAACAGTGCCATCTTCTAGCCCTGTCACAGCAAGGACAAGGAAAGGCAAAAAAGATTGTGGCCAACATGATCCATACAAGATGGTCCTGGACAAAACTGAGCACCGAGATGAATCTTAGAGGTCGGATTTGGCAGTCTTTTCAATGTGTCATACAATTTCGTCGTACGTGTTGCTGCCGTCTTCAGTAAGAAAACATTTACGGAGATTATACGAACAACCCATCCAATGGCCCCATTAGTGCTCTTGTGACGCGCGCTCAACACGTTGAGAGCTGTCGTGTCGCACGCTCAAACGGTGCATGCCAGTGCATCGTGGCGCTCTCCCATCGAAGATAAGAAGCTCGCACTGAAAGGGGCACTGACACATCAAAATCATTTTTTTTTTATTATCCGGAACGATTGAAAACGATGCCAGGACATTAACCTTAAAATCTGAAATTTGGGAATTCAGTATTTGTGAAGTAAAAAAACAATTTCCAAATTCCGAATTCAAAGTTCCCGCGCTTCCGTGCCGGTGCGTTGACGTCAAATATTGCGGAGTCCTGAGAGTCCACTTTTTTTCACGACTGCCTGCTGTTGCCATGGCGACCCAAAGCGAGGAGGAAAGGTTGATTGATTATTAGGTGTTTAATGGCACAAAAGCAACACAGGCCATGCTGCGCCAAAGGAATAGTTAAAAGACTCTATAGTAAAAGGAAGGAATTACTATGCAGAGGATCTATAACTGGTGCAGGTAGCCAGTTTTTTTAAGAAAATCTAAAATATGACTAAAAGGAACTAAAGGTTGATCTCCCAGTAAAAAGGCTGGATGAAATGGAAGGTATCCAGAAAGTGCAGGGAAACTTGTTCGACGTTCTTGATCAAAGAATTTGCAGTGCCATAGAATATGCAGCATTGTTAGCAATTCACCGCAATGCTCACAGACTGGGGCGTCCTCACCACAAAGAAGGTGTCGATGGGTGACACGTGAATGTCCAATTCTCAAACGACACATTAAAACTTCATGGTGACGGTCTCTATGGTGCAAACTCTCCCATACCTCCAAACGTGGTTTGATGACATGTACTAGCTTATTATTTATTTCTTTGTCCCAGTCTTGCTGCCAGGCATTATGAATTGCTTTTTTAAGAACTGGTTTAAAATCTTCTTGAGGCAGCTGAACGGGTGTTTCCAGAGCATCCTTAACAGACGCTGCCAGCCTATCTGCCTTCTCATTACCTGAAATTCCCACATGGCTTGGTACCCAGCACAGCTTGATATTGTATCCCATTTGGGAAGCCAGGTTTAACTCTACCCGTACTTGTTGCACGAGCCGATTCTTAGAATCATTGAGGGAACAGAGAGAGAGGATAGCACTCTGGGAGTCCACAAACAAGATAGCTTTCCTGATGTTGTTGCCTAATATATATTCAATGACCATGAGCACACTATGAGCACACCGAGGAGGAAAGGAGCGAGCGCCCGGCGGACCGGTTTTGAGTGGTGTCGCCTGTTTTCCGTTGGAGGATACAAATCCAGGAGACGGCACCACAACGAACTTCCGATTTTTGGTATTTCAAAAAGAAGGGTCGTAGTGCGTTCGCAATTGCGTTAAAAAACATGTTTTAGGATTGCCGTTATTAAATGTTATAGAGATGCCGCCTACAAAGCTTCTAAATTTCATGATTCTTGACGTCACGAATCAAAAGAAGCGAGGAGGCGAAGGCAGGAGAATCAAACAACAAAAATAAAAAGGCGCGCGCGCGCACGAGAAAATTTTTTTTCGCGATGCGTTTTGTTTTGCGTGTTTATGACTGCAACTTGCATCGTTTTAGACAACAAAAAAATACGACCTTTGGGGTGTCAGTGCCCCTTGAAGGCACGACAACTGAGCCCCTTCTACTCTATTCTCATCGCATCAGTGACAATGATTGTTTTGAGCAACGTATTCTTCCTCGATCGCGCACGTTGCAAGAAGTGAGCTCCGAACCCGGCTTGGCTCACCAATGCGTGCGAGCAGGTCCCAGTCGTCCTGCAGGAAGGCCCCGTAGTGTCCGGCCCGGGCGATGGCCTGGGGGCAGCCCAGGTTTAGGTCCACCGCGCAGCAGTGGCCCACCACCAGCCGCGATGCCTGGACCAGTACCTCGGGGTCGTTGGCGCAGAACTGCACGTGCCGGGAATCCAGTCAGTGCCGGTCGGCACGTTTGCGTTTGGCCATGACTGAGTGCGCCTCAACCTCAAGCGACTGCTTACAAGGGAACACAGCAACATGCTGGCACCATCTCTTATCAATCAATGGAGACCCACACATCTTCTGGTTTCCCCGTTTCTCTTCACCCCCAAAATAAACAAATTAAAAAATAAACAAACAAGCTTTTGCTGCACTTGTAGATCAAATCTACTGACTGTCTACAATTATTGGTAGTTTATAACTAGGGTTATGTGTTAAATATCGACAAACCCCAATATATAGCCCCCAAAGTGGTATTCTCAAAATCAAGGAAAAAAAAAAAAAAAAAAATTAATCGGAGCTGTTTTTGAACAGGGATATCCGCAGTTTTGGGGGATTTCCGCCTAGTTTTTCACTTTTTGAGAAAGGGCTTCTGGCACCAGGTGCAAACTGTGGATTTACGAAGAGAGCAGGAACCAATAACAGGAGAAAAATACTGAAGTGTGTCGTTCTCGGCTGCCATCAGCTCTACAGACTCGCCATTTTTAGAAGACTAACTCCTAGAATATTCGCCGCATAAAGTCCCTGATGCTGAAGTTTCACTAGGCACCATCTGGAGAGCACCGACTATACTCGCTTTTACCTCAAAAAAAAAAAAAAAGAAAGCTTGGCGCATTGTTCATATGCCATCCGAAGCTCCTACAAGATTTGGTTGCCAAATAAATAAGCGATGCTTTTGGCATTCAAAACAAATAGGGCTTGATAAAATAAAATATATACAATCTAAAATGCAGCTACTCTACATGAATGGGGAAATTAATAATGCTTTGCGATGAGCCGGACATTTGTTTACTACGATTCTCAAGGCAAAAACAAGCATAGAATGACCAGTCTCCTCAAAAGCTTCCCTTGATTATCTTGCCATTCGTAGAACGAGCATTTTCTGGGTCACACTTCCCGAGTCGCAAGGAGCGCCCTCCCATGGCCAATAAATCGTTCACAATGTACATAATTTTCTTTCATAGGCTCAAGTATTAATTGCATGCTGCTGAGATCATGTGGAAGTATAGTTATGTTTCTGCAAACTTACTAATGCATTCTTTCCATAAACTGTTTTCGTACGAGTTCAAAGTAGTTGATGTTTATCAGGTGCGGTGCGTTACGGTTTCCCGGTTCAATTTATATACAGCCGCTTTATAACATTAACCCCAATAAATTTTATTTCATGCCACACTGAAAACAAACACAGATTCCCCCCAAAAATACAATAAACCCCGACAAAGCTCCTCGATTTTGAAAAACAAAACCCAGAAAACACGGAATGCTACTTTTAACATTGTCAAAAGGGTTACAGGCCCATGGTGAAAACATTTTGCATAAAATATTAGGAAATATAGGCAGATGGGAAGTAAGCAGTCACAAAAGGTTGCAACACACTTGATCACAACCTCGAAACGTTCTGATTATGTCTCCCCCCACCCTCCACCTTCTGTAATGCCTTTGGGCACTAAAAAAAGGTACCTCAAATAATTAAACAAACACAAATGCATAAACCATCCTTTGCACATCCAGCCAAATGGGCTATTTAGCGGCTCTTGCCAGTGCATAGTCAGAAAGAAAAGAACACACTGGCTTAAGTGCATTCATACAAACTTGGATTCTAAGGTCAGACAGGAGATTAGCGTGCGTGGAAATAACGCAAAGAAACGCAAATCACTGTGAACTGGTGCCCTGGATGCGACGATAATATTGCGCATCTCAGCAGCATCAGTTGTGAGGGGGACACTATAACGATGTCAAAATACTGGCACCCCAACACAGACTTTATTATGATTGGAGCGACCTCGCCCGCCCGTGCAAGCGCAAGCTCGATATTGACGTTCATCTGGAGGTCAACGTCCCTATACGACATTAAACATGAAGTCATTTTGTGAGCCTGCCATTCGCAGGTTGTCCATCGACAGCGAGCGTCTTAGGCACGTATACCCCGTGTCAACCCTGCCAGAGCACATGTTCTTCTTCTGGGGACGCCTTTAGGGGCTTTGTTTCAAAACCTACTGGCATCCAGCGTCGCTACATGTGTTATCCTGAGAGCAACTCGGATCTAGGTACTCGAGGGAGATATGAAACACCGGCAGGAATTTCCTACATTCCATGGAGGTTCCATGGATGTCTTGTAGCTTTGCATATGACATTTGAGTTGCCTGGGTACACACCTCGAAGGCCAAGACAGCAACACATGGCCTGCACCGAAGTTACAGCTGCCATTGTCGCAGCATTACTGCTGAGCGCATACCTTTCGAAGCATACGCTTCGAGCCAACAATTTTTTTTCTCTAAAAGCAAACAAACAACTCGGAACTATTAGCAGCATGCTACAATGACGTCACATGCGAGCCATGTATCGGAAGATCACTGACATGGTAAGAACTAAAAAGGGCAGGAAGGAGTTTCAGTTGTCCCGCCAACAACGTGAGCCCGCTACCATCGACAGCGCTCCGGCGTCTGGCTAGCTTCTAGTGTGCGCGCAGCAGCCAAAAGCACGACGGAAGGCAACCAGCGGGTGCGGGAGGCCTGGCGTGAAAGGGACACCCTGACGTTTTCATCCCGTCAGTGGCAGCCCCGCGAACGCGGGCAGCGGGCGCGATCACCTGCACGACGAGCGGCTGGTCCTCGTCGCACGACGCCAGGGCGTCCCTGCGGTACTTGGGGTCCTTGAGGAACACGCTGGCGTGCAGCATCGGCGTGTAGCACAGCTGGGCGCCGTGTCGCCGGCCCAACAGTCGCCAGGCCAGCTCGCTCTGGTCCACCATCGGAGCCACCACGTAGCGGGGGCTCTTCAGCGTCCGCTTCCAGAACTCGTAGCCGGCTAGCTTCTCCGGCATGGCTGTCAACCAAACCAACGTGCAAACCAACCAGCGAATGCGTCAGCTGTCGCAACGCAGCAATCGCGGCAACAGCGAACCAGCCGCACGCGAAACCGCGAATCTCTCTCGTCTTTTTTCTTCAATTTTACTAAATACTAAATAGACAATTATATTGTTCAATTCTGTAGATTAGACGGTAGCTCTCGCCATCTAGCCAATATTTTTTATTATTAACAAGTAATCTCAATTTAATGTACTTTTCACTAATAAAAAATCAACTTTTTTTATTGAAATACAGTAATATTAGTAATACCAAGCACTAATGTTTCAATAATTACAATAATATATTATATTTTTAATTTAAGGTTAGAAGCGCTACTGAATAGTGGTGAGCAGTAATATTTCTCTCAACAGCAAGCCTAGGTTTCTTCGAAAGAAACAAAATGGCGAGTTCCATCGCTTTCGTCGGTTGCTCCGGTTGAGTGGTTTGTTTTGCATCGTAAAAGAGCTTGCTGACTCAGCAGAATCGCCGCTTCAGGAGGTTCGCGTCACCCGAGCAAGCCGGACGAATCAAGCATGAAGCGCCGAACGCACAAAACGAAGTCGAAGGACGCCCTCAAACGCATCGACAAGGTAGCTTCCCCGTCTGTTCGCTTCAAGTTTTGATCCGTGATGCCGTTTGACCCTCAGGTATTGGCGACTTGGTCCTTTCTTCTGCGCGATCCAAACGCGTTCTTTTTATATCGTGGAGCTCGCCACGCCGTCGCCGCGTTGTTTGAACACGGCAAACATTGGAAGCGGTTTCCAAGTAGATTGGGGGGAGGGGGGGGGGGGGGGGGGGGGGGAGGGATGGGAGGATGGGATGGGATGGGATGGGATGTAGGGTCCAGTTGCGTTGGTTAAGCTTTGTCTTACCTCCGCCGCTTCTTCCCAGTTACCCAGTTCATCAGAGGGCTCGGAGCACGCGGAGCGAAATCCCGTGCTACAGAGCCGAGAAATCCTGGGTTTAATCCCCACCCCTGCCCGTTTCGATCTGGAGGAGCATCGTACCGGCTCGCAGGTCGTGTATCACCTGTCACTTTTTGGTACTGCACTGGCGAAATACTTGACCTACAGTAGAGATGGCAGACGCTCGTTGGAGATGCCTAGCCTTCCCGTCGTCTAAACAAACACACCACTCAATCGTTAGCCCGCCAGGTGATATGAGGAGTTCTGTTCGCGCGAGGGGGGCGATCAGAACGACGCCTAGATGACCTCGCAAGTACTGTGGGTACTGTGGGTACAATGCTCTCATTTTCACCGAGAAAAGCAGGCTTAATCCCACTAAAGAAGTCAAAGTGGCCATTTGGCTAATCGCGGAAAGCCGACCAGAGCGGCGCTTTTCGTCGCGCACGCTTCACTTCTAAAAGAGTTGTGGCGACGTGCGCGACGAAAAGCGCCGCTCTGGTCGGCTTTCCGCGATTAGCCAAATGGCCACTTTGACTTCTTTAGTGGGATTAAGCCTGCTTTTCTCGGTGAAAATGAGAGCATTGTAGGCGATCAAGTTTGACGGTGACACAGTGTGTGGCTCGTACGCGGCATCATTGCACTGCACCAAAGGTCATTCCTACTCGTTCTTGCCGAGAAAAGAAAATTCGGGGGAAGGGGTGGTGGGGGTACAGAGTATATACTGCAGAATGTACGCGTGCAGCAGCGAAGTCCTTCACAATGGCCGCTGATGTTACGTCGGTGCAAGCCACGTATAGAACTTGTCGTTTGCAAGTGACGATGAAGGCTCGTTTGCACGCTTGCGAGTGGTTATGACCATGTGTGTTACGACTTCTTGTGATCTCTTACGATGAGGGAACACATCGGGTAACCGTAGGATGCTCGCAGTTGTAATATATTTCCTTTATTTTTTTTTTGCTTGCATTACTTTTTTCATTATTGGCTCGAAAAAATTTGACATTGTTCACTAAACTTTATTTGATCTCTCAAAGACTGCAAAGCCTCCGCTCTAGAGAAATGCAGTTCCAGGGTTATCTCATAGGTGGCTCCAGCTTGCCAGTCTGTCTGCTCGTCGTAGGATATCACATGAGGTCGTAATGCACTTAGTCATAAGCGGTAGCAAGTGTGCAAACCCACCTTAAGTAGCCGGAATCACGACTCTTGCCATCATGGCGAGGCAAGATCGGGTTGTAACGTCACGGATGAAAACCGTGAGATGGCACCACCGAAACATCTCGACATTAATAGTTCGTCGGCGTCATTCACCATGGCTAAATAAGACCATGTGGTGACCCTGCGAGTGATGTCTTGTTTGCACTTATCAAAGTGTCACCTGCAGCCTAGCCCCCTGGAACCACTGGTGTTTGCTTCTATGTTGTTCAGAGGTGGCCAAAATACAGGTGAACATGGTGGACCTTTTCCTCCAGATCATGGTTTCTCAAGCGGGCTTCCTAGGGACAAAAAGGTTCCCCAGAGTACCCTTATGGGTTCCCCAGGCTTCTTCTTCACCGTCCCCAAACTAAAGAGTTTTTCCGGTTTAAGCACTAGTTGAGCAGATGTGAATTGCCCATTCGTGCATGCCTGTAGCATAACAGACATTAGTAGTATGTGCTTTATTGTTTACAAGCAGTGTAAGCTTGTGCACTACTTTTTTGTACCAAAACTGAAACGTTCGTCATTTGTCATAAAAGTACCATATTTTCCAATGTATAAGTCACATTCTTTTTACCAAATTTGTTTCGTTGCGTCTTATACAATGGTGTGACCTACATCCTTTTTTCCCCCCTAAGTATAAACCTTAAAGGGGCACTGAAATCAATTTTGGAAATAGTAGTTTTTGACCTTATATTGTTTCAAATGTGTTAGTTCTCACATTTACCAAGTCCTGTATTACAAAACCGCCTATTCATCTCGGGGCAAGAGAAAAACACATGGACTCCTTTTTTGCGTGGACCACACTGTGTGGACCAATGAAAGTCCTACAATACGCGCAGATTCCGCATGATTTTATTATAACTCGTTTTGAAAAGAGTCTGATAGGTACAATTTGGATAAGACTCCTCTTTTTCACCACGGGCAAAGCCATCGCTTGCAACTCGCCGACAAGCGCCCTTCGTCGACCACTTAACTCGGAAGTTCTTCCCCAAAAGGGCGTGTCACGATCTTTGAAGACGCTTTTAACGAGAAAAGCTATGCACTATTGTGATTTCGGGCTTATTGGGATGCTTAGAGCGTCTAGATTGAGTTGTCACCACAAAAGGACGATCTCAGAATCGACTTCAGTGCGCCTTTAACTATGCTAGATGTAGGCTGTACCAACATTTCCAGGGGTGCAAGGACTCGCCAAAGCACGGAGGCATAATTCCGCGGCTGCAGTTTTTCTGCGCCAACCTTGCAAATAATGGTGACTTATACCAAGGTGTGGCTTATGCCATGTTTAAAGTAAAATTTTACGTGGTATGCACCACCTCCAGGTGCATACCGTATTGCTTTTTCTAAGATCCTTAATTACGACTAGCCGCAACGAATTTCGTGAATGGCAGCTTGCCAGTCTGTCATTTCTGTACGGTGCAAGGTTTGTGCGCTAATAAAGCAGTAATTTTTTAAGGTATGCTGCGTAGTGCAATTGTTTACGTTCAAAATATGTGCCAGGTGAGGGATGATGTGTGTGCAGACTATGAACCGGGTGCGGACAATCTAAGGAAAAACTTTTTTTACCAGCCGAAATTTGCCCTTGTGGACTATACACCGGGTGCAGTCTATAGTTCAGAAAATGCAGCACATCCACTCTTTCATGGAAATGACCGTCTATATAGGGGGTGAAACTTTTACAACAATATGGCGTATCAACCGGAAAATACGGTTCCTCGGGGTTGACAGGTTTGCAAACTCGTGCTCTCAAGTCGTTACACAAACTCTATTCGTCTTTACACCCCCATGCCGAGTAACCCTCGTCTGCGCCTTAGATGCAGCTGCGGATGCCGGGGGGTGCCGGTCCGCCGGACATACTGGAGGACCTGCCGCTGGCCATCAGCTCCAAGATCAGCATCAGCGACGAGCAGCTGGTCCAGCTCACGGTGCGGGACCTCAACCGGCAGCTCAAGGCCTCGGGCCTCACCCGCTCGGAGATCGTCAAGATGAAGCAGCGCAGGAGGACCCTCAAGAACAGGGGATACGCCGCCAGGTGAGGAGGGGGGGCACTGTGCCACCACGCCGTCTGCGTCTCTGACTGGTGTGCTTAGCAACCTTTCTGCCCGTACCTCCAAGGTGGTCCCAAAGTGGCAGCAAATGACGTCACAAAAAAGCCGGAGTGTCACGCCGTCGGATGTTGTGGTCCTGGTGGTTTGTGCTAAAATGCCGGCAAAACATTTGAGCAGATGCGAGCGGGGATGCCGTCGTCCCCCCTTGGGACGACGGCATCCCCGCTCCTGGTAAGTTGCTCCTGGCAACCTTACTAGATTACCTCAGTTGTGGAACTCCCACGGAAGGGGGTACCCCCCTCACTCACTTCAATGCGCCTGCCGTCATTCGAAGCACCATCTAGATTTTTGTTTCATAACTGTGTGTTCCATAGAGCCTGTACAGAGCAGAGCTGAAACGCCATCTAGACGCCGTGCTTAGACACATAAATATCCCGATTCCCATAGAATACACTGCAGTTACCAAAGCAGCCGTCCAGCGGCGCGTCGAGCGACACCAGGCAAGTCGTGGTGACTGAGGGAGGGTACGGCTCGTGCATGCAGCATCTATGAGCAGTTCCGTAACTGAGCTAATCTAACTTTGGCTCCTGGCTACCGAAGCTTCCGTGAACTGTCAAGCTAGAGAGCAACCTGCAGCGGAACAGGCGTCTGCCACATACGCCACCGCTCTTGTGACACTGCCAGGATGGACACCGGCGACATGACACTTCTGTGATGTCATTATATGAAAATCAAGGGAATTCCTTTTGGATGCATCAGTTGGAGATGTGTTTCAGGCACCTAAAGGCCCTGTCACACTGAGGCAACACGTTGTCCAACAGTCGGTCAACTTGTTGCTCGCTCCCCATGTTGTCCGACAAACCTGTCACATCGCGACAACAGCTGGACAACATGGGCAACAAGTAAAATGTTGCCTCGATATGACAGCTTTCAGCAACGAAAACAGCAGCAACTTGTGTCGGACAACATGTGTTGCCCTGATTGCTGACTGAGTGAAATTGGGCCGGCAACACGACAACAGAAATAGCTTTGATGGCAGAGCTAGTTCCTTATCAATAATGTCTTACTCGAATAAAGGCTTCTAAAACATTATTTACAACAATTAAAGCTGGCATGCAGCTAAAATAATTTGATGAATTTTTTTTACTGCGTAATTACGGAAAGTGATTGTCAAAATGGTCACAGCTGCGGTCGTGAACGTTCAAACTGATATTGAAATTAGAACTGCCGAGAGACCAGCTCACATTACTGCTAGTGAAACGATGGCATGTCTACTCACCTGATAAAGTGTAATAAAAATAATCCAGGAAAGCAAAGATTAAAAAATCGAAGCATAAAAACGACCAATCTGATCATGATTGTTGATGCTTAGAACTTGGAAACAGCTGCTACCAGACACCTGATTTGTTCCAAAAATACCCAGGATGTTTTTGGAGAATGAAGTGATCACTTAGCAGGCGGTAAACAAATAGACAGCGTTGAAAAATTTTTATTCCACCGATTGTTATGAAGGCTGATCGTGTCGGTGTCACAGTTTTTAAGCACTGTCAGTTCAGGTCAACACCATGTTACAAAAGATGCTTTGTGGTACTGCCGGTGCTAACTCAATTTTACAGTAGAAATAGTAACTGCATGAAAGAAAGAACCGAACAGAAACGCTTCATGCGGTTTTTTTTGGTTAGGGCTATCTGTTTTGTCAGCGAATGAAGAACATTTTGATAAAATAAAAGGTGTGAAATACTCCGCGTATTAAGTTTTCTAATCATATTCACTGGTCGATGTCGTCTCGTGGTTATTTCCAGCTCTTCGAATGCACTAGCACTTTGTAGAGTCACATTTCCAGCGACTCTGTGCCACACACGAACGAGGGTAAACAATCAAGTTGGTGGATAGTTCCCCGTGTTGTCCCCGCCATCGGCGTGGTGTGATGACAGGGTTGTCGGACAACACGGTGGCCGGGCGGCGGCAACATATTGCCTGACTGTTGTTGTTGCTGCGATGTGATGGGGTCGCCGGCAACACGATTTCCTTGTTTTGCCGGGTAGAATTGTCCAACCGCTGCCTCAGTGTGGCAGAGCCTTATGTGCTGCTGTCTGGGACCAACATCGTCTCCAACTTTTTCTAACATGTTGAAGGGGCACTGAAGCAGATTTTGAGTTTGCGAGCAATTACGTCGGAGTAAACGACCCGCTTCTGAAACGCGAGTTCTTTTGTCGTCGAGTAAACGCGAGTAAGTTTTGAAGTGTCACAGTACAAAACCTTTATTCCGGAGTCGGATCGAGTAAATTTTGGAGCTTGGCCTAGCTGCGGTGCCTCGGATCATCATGGCAAAGGGTGCTCGCCTTTCCGAGGCACCGAGGCTCTTTGAGTTAAAATGAATGTTAGCTCTTTTGTTCATTCACATTAGTTAGCAGTTTCCACTATACGCACAGTTAATAGTTTGTGTGACGGGCTAAAATACGATAGAGACTCTGCCTTCGGCACACGCTCCTTGCTTTCTGCCGGGCTTTGGCTCTGCATATTCCAAAGCATTATTAAAGGCTGCGAGCTCATGCTGGAGGTAGAGTGTCTACTGCATTCTTATGGCGAATATGCGTGGTTCTTTCTTTGCGCTCTCGAGCGCTTTTTGCAGAGCACGTGAGATCGGATGCGGGAAAGAAAGTGCGGTGGCCTGATTGGCTGGTTCTTTTAGAATGCGCCTCTCCCTCCCGGAGCGTTCCCTAGCACTCCGCCTGTAGCTGTTGGAGTGCAGAGCGGCGCATTCGTCACGTGGTACTTGAATGGAGATCACGTGGGGTTTTTGACGATGGCCGGCAGTGGTCTGTGGTGGTGTGTGGGGTGCGGCATGACAGTGATCGATATCTGGTTGTACAAAGTGCTTGTGCATTCGATAGTGCAAGGATTACAACGGACGGACGACATTTGTTTGTGACAGTAACAGGAATAGTCGACGTGCGAATCACCATAAAACTGGAATATAGGTCGACCCCCTAATTTACAAGTTGCAAAAAGAGAAAAAGTTTTATGGCAAGAAAATGCAACTTTACTTTGGTAACAAATTTGGCCAAGCATATGGAAGGACGAGAAAACACGGCACATTCATTTAATTGCTTCGCACACAATAAAACTGGAAGTGTGCTGCTCAGATTCTTCAGAACCTTCGTCCGACGACAAGCTCACTAACGCAATTCAAAGGGACGATAAGGTCCCTTTGAATTGTGCCCTCGAAAGTTTAGAGGCACGAGTGACCTTGGTGGCTTTCGTACGGATTCGCCCCAACGTCACAGGTAGCGATCTGGCGCGCAGATTCCGAATGAAATTTGTCACCTTTGCTTCCAGTTCAAGGTACACCGCAGTCTTTCCACGAAATGAAGTTTTCTTCGCCTTGCTGCCCGCTGCCAGTTTTTGTCCCTGGCCTCGCCAGTAGCGTATGCTCTTCTCCGATACACTGAACTCTTGCTGCGCTGCAAGATTCCTGTAGATCCTGCATAAGCGATTGCATTCTTCTTGAAGGCTACCGTAACTGTCTTCTAACTGCTCATTATCGCTCCAGGAGTGGCAACGATAGATGTAACAGCCAAGGAGCACAAGTGAAAGTGAGTCGTGACAAGTAGACGAGTGCTAGGCGATTGCAAAGAAAAACAAGATGGCAGCTTCAGCCACCCAGTGTTGCGAGATTATTTTTGTTTTTCCGTTAATGACTGTTATATAGACCAACACGCGGCTCGGACGTCACGCCTCTGCGGAGGCGCTGTTGCCGCCACGGCGCACGTGCAGAAGCTGACCTTGTGCGAATCTGGTTTCTGCGCTCCCGCAGTGCCCACGCAAAATGCGAGCTTGTTTGTAAACAATGTGTCGGTCTATAAGACGAGGGTTGACTTTTCCAGGTCCATTTTGAAAAATATATTCGACCTATATTCCGATTTATTTGGTATTCCCAGTGCTTTCACGAGATCGTTCATCTCACGGCGGTGAATCCGCTCAACCTACTGACGAAGAAACAGCTCGCACAGCTCCCCGCTGTTTTACCAGGTTTTGTGGTCACTTCAGGAAATTTTCGGGTTCGGGTGTGTTCAAATGTTTGTGTTTTAAAATAAAGGGAGAGCCAAATATAATGCATTGTGTCACATGACAATATGTGCTTATATTCTGCTTGCACAATATTCCGTTGTGCGAAAACTGCGGTTTATAATCATTTTATATTTGCCTGTTCTGCCGTATGCATGACCGCTATTGCAGCGTGTTCCCTGTCAAAAACGCAATGAGTTGACAACTCTTTCCAAACATTGGCTTTCGTTCGTTCTGCAAAAATCAATTCGCATGCTGCTGTTGTTGTTTTGTTTATGCAAAGAACAATTTATGTCACAACCGTTTTTTCATCACGTTGCAAGCATAAATTTTGCTCATTCGTCTGCTGTATGCTGTAAAAAAATTTTTTTTTTAATGCATTTCCAATGTCAAAAAGTTTTACTTCCGTAACTGGTCTGAGAATGTCAGAGCGCTCTCAACCCAGCTGTTGTGATCGGCTGAAAAGGGTCCTGAGTAGGTCTGGTGGCGAGGAGGGGGCGCTTTGCTGAATCAAGGTTAGAGGAGAGAGGCGACCACCCGAATTGACCATTAGTCAGTCAACGGCTAAAGATACGGTGCCTTGGGGTTTCGTGTGATGGGCTACTCACCTTTCTGAGGCACGGCAGCTTACGCGAGTCGGAGTAAATACTAAATAATTAATTTATATTTATCGGCACTATTCACCATGTTTCCGCAATGCCAGGTAAGGAGGTGCGGTTAGCACATTGATACTTTAGACTCATGTTGTAAAAAAAAACATCTCCGAACTCCGGTCTAAAGACATGCTTTTCGTGTAAGGCTAGTCAAATTATGAGGCGCTGGGAAAAACCAGCCTTCTGCGTTAAGTCCTTATTTCAAACACTTTTTGTTTGCCTTCCGCCCATTGAAAAGCATGCGGGAAGGGCGTCAGCAGGCACCTCGTATCGATGCTCCGCAGTGTTCTTCCGCCGCATAAGGGCCGTCTGCTTTCATTGCAGTCACCATAGCAACGAACGCCGATTTTCTGAACGCCATCTGCTAGCCAAAGTTTTGCAATGAGCAGCCGCAGACTGTCGCAGTGAAGTGGCGTGAACGCAGGCGGGGTGGGGGGGGGGGGGCGTGAATTAACATGCTCCCCAGTGATGCATGTACAGTCCGAAATGGTTATTGGGCGTTCGTTGCCATGGTGACGGCGACGAAAGCAGACGGCCTTTATGCTGTGGAAGAACACTGCGATGCAGCGATACGAGGTGTGTGCCGAGGTGCTTCCCGCAAGCCTTTCAATGGGTGGAACGCGAACAAAACGTTTTCGAAATAAGGACTTAACGCAGAAGGCTGGTTTTCTCCAGCGCCTCATAATTTGAAGAGCTTTACACGAAAAGGGTGTTTTTCTGGCCATCCTGCGCCGTTTTTTTTTAATCTGGAGCATGGGTCTAGAGTATCAAACTGCCGTGTGATTCAGGTGGCGTCTTAGGGGTTCATATCACTTTAGCATGTCATTATATATCGACTAACAGTACCATTGACGAACAGCTTGTGTTTCGGGCACCATAGTATAGGACCTTCGCCTCTCGGAAGTTTTGCGGCTTTCCAGAGCGAAGACGAACGCTGCATTTTTTAGGGTGCCCAGAACGCGTCTTGACTAGTCTGTTTAACGTCCAGTCCTGCCCGTAGATCGGAAGTGGTCTCAAAGAGGCAACAAGTGAAGTCGCAAGAGCCGGCATGTCATGTTGCCGGATGTCCTAATCCTGGCAGTTGGTGCTAGAATTTCTCACAAAAAGTACTAGCGAACGCGAGTGTCGCTGTTGCCAAGGGGTCCCGACTCCTGGCTGCCGAAGCTTGCATGGACAGTCAAGCTGGAGAGCAACTTTCATTTCGGCTTCTTTGACATCATTTATTGCCTCTTGGGGACCAATTTGGATCTATGGGCAGAATAAGACGCTAAACACACCAGTCGGAGAGACGTTCCGGGCATCGAACCTTGGCAGAAGTGTGGTTTGCCGAGGTTGTTGCCCTGACACCCGCTTCCCACGCGTGCGACAGCTGCCGCAACAAGCGCCTGGAGCAGAAGGACGACCTGGAGGGGGAGCGTGCCGTGGTGGTGCAGGAGATCTCCCGCCTGCGCACCGAGAACAGGGCTCTGGAGGTGCAGGTGGACGACCTGCGCTCCAAGTACACGACCCTGCTCGACTGCGCCCGCAAGCGGGGCATCCCGCTGCCGGACGACCTGGGGACCGCCTTCTGATCGGATGGCTTCCCCTGGACGTCTCAAGAGGCCATCAGACTTTGCCCGGCAATGGGTTGTCCCACCGCGACTGGCTGCAGTCGGCTATAGATGGACCGCAGCAAACGCCATGAAAAACGAGGGCCGTTCCACAGCTGGGACAGTGTCGCCCGAATTTCCTCGATATCCGAGGAGGCCATTGAACTTTGCCTAACGGTCAGTTGCCCTGCTGCAACTGGCTGCGGTCGGCTATACTCCATTCCGTCTAACAATGGACCGCAGCGGATGCTAAGAACAACTGGAGCCAATCCGGAGCCCGGAGAGTGTCACCCGACCTTATGGTTTAAAGAGGCCCACCGCAGAGCGTAGTCACGCGGTGCGCGTGGAGCGCTGGTTTGGTTAAGAGGACTCTTGGCGTCAGCTGTGGTCCATTGCAAGATAAAACGGAGCATATGCGGACTGGCTGTACCCGGGCGCATGGTGTCCTTTTTTCTCACGACAGCAAGAGATGCTGACTGCATTATGCTCCATTCAGCCCTAAGCCAACAGTGCATTGGAAGCTACGTGCACGCCGGACCAATTGGCAGCCTCCTTTTCATCGCCCGAGCCTGCTCTCTACGTGTGGGGAAGTGCAGGAGCATGATCACCTGGCAAGAGATTGATGTATGACTGGTCCAATGAATGCGCAGCTTCCACTGCACTGTCGGCTTAGTGGTGATTGGAGTACATAGGTGTCACTTCTTGACGGCCTCTTTGACTTCTGAACGGGAGAAGGTTAGCTGCAAAACGGATGCGGCGACTTTGTTAGCTACACGTGGCCAACCAACATAAAGCCAGTCGTGCTGGCGATTCCACGAGCGTGGTGGAGGGAGGCTGTGCCCATTGTAGGCGTGGTAGGTCTGTTGAACCTCGCGAAGAAGTAGCGGTCAGTGGTCGGTCACCTCAGAGCCTTTGTCGACCATCAGCTCCAAGACTCGGGAATCAGTTACATTTCTGCTTCTACCTTCTCGAGGTTTGTGACGAGCAAATTATTCTTGGACGACCCTCGAGGCAATGCTTCATATTTTGCATATCTGGTGGCATGGTTAGGCTGCATTAACACTCATAGCGTCTCTCTGTCCACCTTTCAAGACGAGATTGGTTCTTCCTGCGGATCCAAACAGTTTGGCTACTTCGACCCAAGTATAAAGTGGGCAATCAGCCCAGAGTTCATTGGGGATGCTAATGTGGGCCCCTTGTGTAGGGTGCACATCGACCCTTTTGGTGCAATGCTTGGGGACCGTCGCAACTAGCAACGGTTGACCCGCATTCCCGCTGCTTCGATTGTGTCGGCCATGCCGTTTTTGTATGGCGTGCTCAGGACTGTATTTAAAGCTTTCATATTTTTGTAGAAGCCACAATAAATGTTGAGTCTTTGCACCGACACATTTTTATCCCCCGCCTCACTTTGTGTTTGGAGCAGTTGAAATATGTTTAAGGTGACACAATTGATGTAAAGAAAACTTTGTTAGCTTGACTGATTGGGTGGTGTTGATGACAAAAAGATGGAGAGGCAAGCCTGGACATTTGTTATGGCTGGCAAGATTGTGTGGCTGGATGAGAAGTCTGCGGCGGAGATGGCACTGTACACTTGCAGCATTTTGTGACATTTGTCATTATACCGGGTTTGATAAAAAAAATTAAACTCGGTTTCTCGGCCTGCATAGGGTCATTCCACACTAAACTATCCAGGCCTAAATTCGACCCTCACAGATTTGGTCTAAAAAATTATGTGCTATTCGTAATGAGAAAAGTGCTTTTTCCAAATATTTTTGCAATAACTATTTTGTTTTACGACCCCTCGAATTTTCCGGAAAACAAACCCCAAAGGGTAAAAAAAACATTTTTTTTTTAAAATAAAGGTTTAAGGCGTATGAGAATAACAGCATTTTAGTAGGGCCAATTATATTCTAAATTATCCAACACTATTTCTTACACATTTTTTAGTGGTTTTAAAAGAATACTCTAGCGAAATTTTAGCGCCTATTTTATTCCCTACATTTGAACCACGTTCTGGCCACACTCGAAAAGACACCAAAACATTATTTAAAAGGAATAAATCGAATGTCGTTGCGTCACACTGAGGTTAAGAGCAGCGCCACTCCGCGGAAGTACGGCGGCAAGCTGCGTGTGGGCGAGCCCTGTTGAACTCTGCCTATTCAACTCGTGCGGTACCTGCGGGGAGCGAGGAGGGGCGGCTTTAAAGAGCCAGGTTGCAACACGTTGACGACACCAAGTGGCGGAGCTCATTAACTGTGCTAGCTTTACACGCTCTGGGCCAGTTGACGTCGCCTCTCCCATGATGCATTTGGCTCTCGGATGGCTGATCTTCAAGCGTTCGCTGGAATCAGTTCTTCGGAATACAGTTAAACCTGGATATAACGAAATTGATAAAAGTTTCCAGTAATTCGTTATATGGAGGATTTCGTTACATGCAGTTTTCGCGTAAAAACTAGTAAAGGACACGTGGAAAGGAAGCGAAAATTAAAAATTCATGTGGGCAAACTCACCACATCATTTATTTAGTGGAAAAGAAGTCTATAGGCTTGCCTTTTGTCTTTCGCGCGAGCGAAGGCGGCGCATAGTGCTCAAAGGACACCAAAGCGTTTAGAGCGCTGTCGTCGTCCTGGGAGCCAGCGACTTGGTGTATTACATCAATGGCATCCAAGACCTTCCTCGCGGTAGGCACCAAAGGCTGCTCCCCTTTGGTGGCAATTGGACAAGAATATATCTGCATTTTAGGTACAGTCGCCGACCGATTATTCAGACTTCACAGGGACCGAAAAGCAGGGACGGCGCCAAGGGGATACGAGGGGTGGCAAGCGCCCCCCCCTAAAATTTCTTCTGCCGCCCCAAGATGAAGCACCTTTGTACACAAATAATTGCCTACGACATCGGCTTGAAGACCCAGTGCAACGAGTGTCCAGACTTTAGAGCCGTTCATGCGTTTTATTTTTTTTTTCTATTAACTTCCAGCCACTAGAAGTCGTACCGCGCGTAGGGTGCCTTCATGTCTCCCTAACCGCGGGCGAGTAAGCTATCAAGCGCTTTAGAAAAAGCAGCTTCCCTTTGTGACGCCTGCTGGCTTTTCTCCGTATTCCGCTCTGTGGTGCTTATCTTCAGCGGAGACCGGAGACGTGAACGAAGGGGAGCTTAGTTAAAGTCGAGGTCATGGGGAATTGCGGACTGTCTCAGAAGGGGAAGCAAAACCTGGTTGTGAGGCTGAGCACAGGGGGCAGAGGTCCCTGCTGTGATACCCCCCCTTCCCCCCCTGTCTCCCTCCTCGTGTCTTCGCATTTCCCTTTTCAATGAGCACACCGCATAAGCTATCTTGCATAAGCCCGTGGGCGACAGCACCTCAAAGCCACCGCCCCTCCCCCTCCCCCCCCCCCCCCCCAATTTGGTTCGCCTCCCCACTGCCCCCCCATTATGAAGATCCTGGCGCCGCCCCTGCCGAAAATACATCCGAATAATGGAGCAGTCCGAAAAATCAGTAGATTGAAAAACTTGCCTTTATTACTTCCAAGCGGGCTTAAAAAAGCTGAAAACAGTGCCTTGTTTCAGGTTATGCCTCCATTTGCGTTCGGCAACTTTCTGTTAGCTTGAGAATCGCTGCCTTCTTTTCTAGCGTTATGGTCGAGTACTTTCTGCGCTTCTTAATGATGCATTGCGGCGGCAGAACAACAGATGGGGCTATGACGTCCAAGCCAGCGTTGTGCGAACGAGATAAGGGCGCAAAACTACGAGCGTAAAATGGCGACTGGCGACGCGAAGAAACGCACTAGGCAACCGTAGAAACGAGAAAAGCAAAATGATAATAATGATGATGATGGCGTGCAACTAAATAGAAAAAAGGGCTAGCATAGCGTCGCCTAGTGGTAGGACTCGGGAGTACTCGGGTAGTGCCAGTAGCGCTGCCAAACCAAGCCAATCCATTTGCAGCCAACATAGAAGTCCAAATGGCCGCTTCTCGATGGTATTTTCCGCTGATCGCTCGCAACGATTTTGTCGGAATAATCAAACTTTTGGACTTCAAGCTGTCTGAAACATTGGTCGTGGTTTCGCCCTTTAGGTCCGAAATATCGAACAAATCCAAATTATAGGGGTCCAAAAAAAAAAAAAAAAAAAAGAAGGAGATTGCGGCGGATTGAGTTTGTTAAATCAAGGTTAACCAGTGGGCACTTTCAGTAGCGCCTCCCTTGCCTCCGAACAGAGTGACTCGAGCCGGAGCTCTTTGGATTTTCTCGCCGGAAATATTCACTAGTTAGGAAATAACGTCGTATCTTTAGCTCCTTTGACTCTACGTGCACCGTCTTCGGACTCGGTGCTTCTGAGCTTGGCTCCGAAGCCCCGGAGTTACGTGCATCGGAAGTGACTTTTGGCCGTCCAGTGGAAGGACTCGGTGACCCTTTGACTCCGGGGCCGCTACTGAACGCGCCCAGTGCGAACGCTTCGTTACATGAAATTAACAAATACAAGCGCTTCTATGAAGATCGCGTCGGGGAATTGAAAAAGTTTGTTAAATAGAGGATTTCGTTGTATACAGGTTCGTTACATCCAGGTTTAACTGTACAAGCATACAATTGTTACTAGCAAGTAGAGTTGATCATGTTAAAGCTATTTCTGAACTTGAGAGGTATATTTTGATCCGTTAAAAATGTCCTATAAAGCTGAGATTCACCTTTTTTTTTTCAAACACCTGCTACCATATTAAGACTTAAAACTTAGATGTGTTAGTAGCAAGAGAAATGGAGGATATTAAAATATTTTCTTACACAATCCGTTACTGTGTTCTAATGACTCCAATAACAATACCCAATACTCTGCCGCCGCCTTTGAGCATGCATCGTAACGTTATCGGAGGTATAAGAACGATCTACTAACACTCTAATAAATGGGCAATATTGAGCAGATAGCAAAATAGGCTGTTTTCAATACAATAAAAATCATAAATGTGGTTGGTCTAAAAAGTATTTACTCAAAAGTTATACATAGTCTATAACACACTATTTTTTCGAAGCGAATTAAATAAATTTTTTATTAGGTCCATTGCGGGGGCATGGAAAATATTGCAAAATATTCACTTTTCAAAGCAGAAACTAAAAGGTGAATGGGCTAACACTATATACTTTATACACCTATATGTAGATTGTAACTAAGACAACAAACTAGCAAAGTTTGAATAAAATATTTTCTAAAAGCGAGAAATTTTTTTAAAATTGGCCCAATGCAACCCCAATTTGCCTTATCTCTCGGAGTGCAGGGGCCTTTTCATTTTAGTTTCAAGGAGCATGACTGAAAATGGTCTTCTGGAACAAAAAAATATGGTTAGTAAAATCTGAAAGCAAAATTCAGCATTAATTTTCTAGGGTTTTTTTGTTTTTCACACTTTTAATGCAGTCATTTTTACTAATCGGAAACTGTTTCCTTTCGATAAAACTCTAGGATAAGGAAAAAGGTGACTAAAGACCTCATCTCACTCAGTGTTTGCTGTCGCATTTCGCCTATTAAAGGTATAAAAATCGTATTGCAAACTGCTAGGCAATTGTGTTGGTTACGGGAAACGTTCTTGCATCGGAAACATTTAGCGATACTCGGGAGTTGCCAGGTTCCTACGTTTACGGCGCTCTTTGTCGGACAATTTATTACGTGGCTTAGGTACACCTGATAGCTGTTCCCGGAATGAAGCAATACTACTGCTAATCGGGCTGATAAACTTAACGATCCTTCAGAGCCTTCTTTCATACTCTCTAGCTCCTCTACCTCGGTGCACGCAAGTGGTCGAGTTCCCCCACACCTTCTTCACTCCTCCTCGCCTACCCCTTTGGTCACATGACCTCCCCGTTAACCGAGCCAGAACAAGCAGATAGTTCACTCCTCTCCTACCCGATAACAATGGCAATCGGTGTCGAGCCTCACGGACGCGGTTTTATCCAGTATTCACTTTTATCTGGGCTTCACGAAATGCCGAACACCCAGCTGAAGAACGTATTTCACGTTAAAAACGTGCGACAAGGTGTCGACTCCCTATCTGCAGGGCTTCCCCACCAAATGGCACCTCGGCTCATGTCAATGTGTCGTGACGTGCAATAAAGAAAAAGAAAAAATGTGTCGCGACATGTCGAAATTCTTTTTGTTTGCTGCAATGGTACCTTCCCCCCACCCCCCCACTCAAAAAGCCACGCTTTTACCAGTGTTGATTCACCTTTATCCAGGCTTCCCGAAATGCCAAACACCTCGTCGAATAACGTTTCACGCTGCAACTGTGAAAATAGCCTAAAACATAACTCCATACTCTTGGGCCAGATCAGTGAATATCCGATTCCATGGATGAACGAAGGTTCCCGAAAGCCCCATTAGCACAGAATAACGGCATAGGTGTGAGATTGTTTTT